GTCGAGGATGAGCATCGTGGTGGTGGTGACGATACAGAGGCCTCGCTTTATCAAGTGAGACCGAGCAATGTGGTTGAGGACAATGCCGTGGAATATGAAGTTCGTGTGGTGGATAAGAAGGTTGATAAGGAGGAAAAGTCTGAGGAGCGTGGTAATGGCAATGCATTTAAGGGGCGGCCAGGTTCACGAGATGTCTATGAGGTTGCCAAAGAAATTGAGGTTCAGTTCGAGAGGGCATCGGAGTCCGGTAACGAAATTGCCAAAATGCTGGAGGCTGGGAAGCTTCCCTATCAGCGCAAACACGGTGAGTATTATATAGCTCAGATCTATTAAAATTCTGCCTACAAGAAAATAGGATCCTGTAGAATGAGATTTGTACATCTCTTCTGGGTTCTTTTTGCTTGATCTGGTGACTATGAAATTTTTAGATGGCTATTGATTTAGTTATGGATCCTATGTTAGAATCATTTCTGTTCTTGAACTGGGTTTTTGCTTTTGTTACCTCTTTAAACTTGCAAGTTGAGGAATCTACATCTGGATTCTGGCAGTTTCTTCGAAGATGTTGCATGTTGTTACTCCCTCGCTATCGATGGTAGCTTCCCAACCTTCTACTTCGAAGAGTACCGATCCTTCGGCTTCTGGTGACAAAAACGGTGCTGCTGAATTAAGTTATGTTGAAGAGTTCGGGATGGCGTCTGGAAATCTGTCTTCTACCTTGAGGAAGTTGTATCTATGGGAGAAGAAACTCTACAATGAAGTTAAGGTATGATATAAACTACTTTGAATGTGCTGCTTGATAACCTGATGATTTTAGCATCATACATAGCCTTTTTTTTGGGGATAACTGAGATATTTGGATCCCATTATTTTTTATAAGGTTTATGGCCCACCCGAAGTAAATGTCATTGCATTTTACGTCACTGTTTAATTCGATTTTGATATATTGGTGGAGCTTACATTCATGTCGCTGTGATTTAAACGTTTAATTCGATTTATCTTTGAACATTTTATGTTCATTTTCATCACTGAAAAGTTCGTTTCTTGTTGAAGAAAAATGTTAAAATACTTTGGAGCAGTTCTGTTTTCAATGTACTTCCATTACTTCAATAGTTTGCACTCTAAATGAGTTGCTGTGGTTGAATTTTCTTCTTAGGCAGAAGAAAAGATGCGGGTAATTCATGAAAGGAAATGTCGGAAGCTGAAGCGCTTAGACGAGAAGGGTGCTGAAGCTCATAAAGTTGATTCCACTCAAACTGTAGTGAGGAGCCTTTCGACCAAAATAAGAATTGCTATTCAGGTGGTTGACAAGATATCCATGACGATAAATAAGATTCGGGATGAAGAACTATGGCCGCAACTGAATGAATTAATTCAAGGGTACGTCTAGTTCTTCAGACCTTCCCGTTTCGTGCCAAATTTCTGATCTTTTCTCTCATATTGAACATAGTTTTCACATTTTCCCCTTGTGAACTTTTCAGTTGAGACAGAGAATTCTTACTACTCGCATTATTCCATAAATCTTTATATCTTTCGGTGTTAAATGTGGAATACTTCTTCTTTTTTCAGATTAACCAGGATGTGGAAATGTATGCTCGATTGCCATCGTGCCCAGTACCAAGCGATTAGTGAATCAAAAAGTTTAGGTCCCATTGGATCGGGCAAAAGTAGTAGCGAAGCACATCTTGTAGCAACCAAGGAGCTTGAGCATGAGCTTCTGAACTGGACAATCAGTTTCTCTAGTTGGATCAGCGCACAAAAGGGGTATGTTAGAGCCTTGAACAATTGGCTTCTAAAGTGTCTTCTGTATGAACCTGAGGAAACACCAGATGGCATAGCACCCTTCTCACCGGGAAGAATAGGCGCACCCCCAGTATTTGTGATCTGCAACCAGTGGTCACAAGCTTTGGATAGACTATCCGAGAAGGAAGTGGTCGATTCTATGCGTGTGTTTAGTATGAGTGTGCTTCAAATTTGGGAACATGATAGGCTAGAAATGCGACATAGAATGATGGCAAACAAAGATTCGGAGAGAAATGTTAGAAACTTGGATCGGGACGACCAAAAGATACAGAAACAGATTCAGGCATTGGACAAGAAGATGGTGATGGTTTCTAGAGATGAAAAGCATCTCTCTGTTTCAGGGAAAGCCGTGTATCAAAGTGAAATGAGCAATAGTAGTCTGCAGTCTAGTCTGCAACGCATTTTTGAGGCCATGGAGAGGTTCACCGCAGATTCCATGAAAGTGTACGAAGAGCTTTTACAACGAAGTGAGGAAGAACGATTGAGTCAAGAGCACGAAGGAGTCCTATAAGGTTCTTTTCTTTAACGATGGAATCTTATTTTCTCATTTTGATAGTGATTCAGGTCAACAGGCAGCAGCTTCCATCAATAGCAGTGGTACTAAAGATTCAACCAAAGAGTTGATGATATGATGGACTCTTCAGATGCTGCTCCATATTCTTCTACGGAATCATACTACCTCGTCCGCTGGCCATGTTTTCATATAAGATCGAGCAACCGATGGGCGATGATGAAAATGCTAGCAGAAAGCTACCGATTGGCCAATTCGAAGTCAACTTGAACCTGCTTATTTATTCCAAATGTTCAAGAAATGAAAATTTTCAGCTCAGTCACTGTGGTAGCCAGAGACAAGGTCCTGAAGAATGCCCTGATTGTTTGAAAGAGTTATGACTTGGAACTTTCGGGACGATGTTCGGAGGAAGTAGTTGTTATTCTTCGGCCTCGGGGAGAGGGTGAATTTCAGTAGCCTCTTGCTGGCTCTGGGTTGTTTCACAGTGATGGAGCAAAGTCATGAAAATGACAAGATGAAGATGATAGATATGTCTTTTTCAGTACTTTATCTTGTTTTTTTTTTTTGGGTTATTTTCTGTATTCAATTATTGTACATAAGAAAAGCCATTTTTGATACCCAGATCATATGAAAAGCCTTCTTCAATAGAAAGTTTGTTGAAATGGACAGAAGTATGATTGGTGAGGCTAAGGCAAATTCTGTGTCACCTCAATTTTGCAGTGCTTTTTTCTCTTAATTTTTTAATCTCTTCAACTTATTCACTAATGGTGGCCCTTTTCAACCAGCAGAAGCTGTTACTTCTGTTCAGTGTATATTTTGATCTCTACTTATTGATCATATTAGCCTTTGGAGCTTGGAATCTCTAATTTTGTTCTATGTTTCTTTTATTCTGAACTTAATCCCTCTTTTTAAGAGCTCTGATATGAAGAATCTCGATAGTAGTTTTATGGATCTAAGATGAAGAAAATCATAGTTTTAAGGCTAAATTATGGAAAAAAAAATACCTATGTACATTGTCTTTTGTTTAAACAAAAATATTCTAGTAATCATTTGTTAATATTCTAGGGAGAATAAGGTAAAATTTAATGTTATTTATTGTTTTTAAAAGGGAGATTTAAGGTAAAATTAAAGAAGAAATAGAGAAAAAGTTATCGTTTTGGGCAAAATTAGGTATATTTTTTTTTCTTTTTTAAAATGATAGTGTCTTTTGCCTTTTACTCTTTATAGATTTAATCCAAACCAGCTTCCATATTAAATGTTACGAATTGAAGTATTACTGATGAAAGTTTGTTCAAAAACTTATGAAAGGTCAAATTTAACATTGAAATTTTTAAAAGGAAAGATGTATTTTTTAAAACTTGAAAGTTCAAATCTAACATTGAAATTTTTAAAAGGATAGATGTATTTTTGAAACAAGACGTACGGGTATTTTCTTTGTAATTTCGCTTAATTTTACCGTAGTTTTTGTTAGTTTTGTTGTTGCCATTGACATAATACGAGGATGATATGAAAAATTTTGTTATTCCAAAATAAATCAAATGTAAAGTAATAATCGAGAAAGTAATTTTTTCAAAAAAAAAAATCGAGAAAGTAAAGAAATAGTGAAAATAAGATATCAGTGGAATGGCCTCTGTTGGTGTATGCCAAGCAAAGACAATCTAATTAAAGATAAAATTTTAGTGGGACTAAAATAATTATTTAAATAATAAAAAAGATAAAATAAAGTTAAAAAGTAATTAAAAAAAAAGAGTGAAAGATAAATTATTGCCTGCCCCTTCCCATCATTAGGGTAATATCATTACTCTCTCTTTTGAACAATGATTTGAGTTCAGCAGAAGCACGCTATTGAATTTGAAAGCAGGTTGTTGCCAATTTCTATAGGGAACTTCAAATGTTGAAATTAAGTTTTTTTGGATTTAGTGAATTTTTCTTATTTATTTATGACTAATAATTTCTGATCCTACTATATTTGGTTAACAAGAAAACTCGTAGAATATCAAATTTTAGTAGGTAGCCACCATAGTTTCAATTCATTCTCTCTCGTTCTGTTTTTAGTGAAATTACTAAGATAGGTTAGCATGACCAACACTGAGAATTTGAGCAAAGTTTCACTTGGGATACAAAATTTTGGACCCTCTAGTCTTGCATGGCGGTTTCTAACTTTTCAAGTGGTAAAAGCTTTTAAGTTAAAGTGGTAGGATCAGTCGATTTTTTTTCGTATGAATATATTGGTATAATATTGTCCATGTTACGTCCAAACTTGTATGATCTTACGTTTGGGTTGTACTTTAAAGAAATTTCTCACTTCTAATTAATATGAAACTATGTTTACATCCCAAGAGTTTTGGGTAAGAGCCATTTGACACCAATAATAGTATTAGAGGTGTGTACTTTTGTTTGGAACAAACTAGTTGGAAAGGCCTATTCGGCACCGTTCCCGAGCGAGCTGAACCGTTTTACTACAGAAGCAAACTTGATATTTTAATGTTAAAAACACCCAGAAGCAGCGTATGACTATGTCATCCATCAGACACAAACACAGCAAGACACAAAGGCAACATCTTTACACATGTTAATGGTAATCGGATCTCATTTATCAAGAAGTAGTACTAAATCCATAAACAAGTTGATTCATTTCACAGCAACATATTACATATTCTGTTCCTAACATAACATAGATGTCTGTAAGCTGTAAAGACATGCTTGGTGAGCAGGAGACATGTTTTTCTGCATAAGAGAAAGCCATCTCAGTTTCATGGCTGTTTTTCAGAAAATTAGTGGACCTTCTAAACAAATGGATATATTATAAATCTCATTATAGTGTCAGATACATGCAAGTGGTTACAAAGAAAATATGATAAAGGATAGCCAGCTTTGAACTTGGTGGATGGGAGACAGAGGAAAAACATTGCTGAGATGGTGTTGCAGAGCCATATCACAATCATGTAACTTCAGGATTTTGTTTTATATCCTCAGCATTTTAAGAATGAGTTTGAGTTTCCTACTGTCCCCTTGGTCTTAGCTATATAAACTTCCCTGAATGCAAGAAAATGTATCATAAACTGAACTTTACTCAACTGCTTGCTTTGTAATTCAAAAGCTAGGCCTTTGTCTTCCCAAAGATTCCAATCAAGAAAGGAAGATGGATGCCTCTGCTCTGAACCCAAGAAACTCTCATCATATCCGCTCGAACAGCTGGCCCTCAAAGCCACACCCGTTCATCGATCAAGTCGATGAACGTTTATGCAGATTGAAGGAGGCCTCAGAAGCCACATCATCATCTTCATCTGAACTGTGCCATAAACTAAATGGCCTTCAGGATTTACATGATTGCATCGATAGGTTGCTTCTGTTGCCCCTCACCCAACAAGCTATTGCACAAGAGAGTGATAAGAAATGGTTTGATGATTTACTCGAAGGATCGGTCAGACTCTTGGACTTGTGTGACATAGCTAAGGATGCATTGTTGCAGACAAAAGAATGTGTCCATGAACTAGAGTCGGTTTTGCGCAGAAGAAGGGGAGGTGAACTGTTCATAGCAAGTGAGCTGCAGAAATGCTTAAGTTCTAGGAAGTTGATAAAGAAGACCATCTACAAAGCCTTGAAGAATATTGAAAGCAAAAGTTGTGAGAAAAGTCAAGCCACTCCGGCCATTGTTAGCTTATTGAAACAGGTTGAAGCAGTCAGTTATAACGTCATTGAATCGTTGTTGTCCTTCATAGCAGGACCCAAGTTGCCATCAAATTCGAGCCGTTGGTCTTTGGTTTCGAAGATTGTGCAGCCAAAAAGGGTAGCCTGTGAAGTTGAAGAAGCAAGTACAAATGAAGTGGCAATAGTTGATGCTACATTATACTCAGTTGCCAGTCAAAAAACAAAGAAATCTGATTTGCTTGTGCAAGTTGACAATTTGCAGAGCTCATTGAAGATATTTGGTTCAAACATTCAAGAAGTTGAAGGTGATCTTGAGGCTCTATACAGGCTCCTTATAAAAACTAGAGTCTCACTTCTCAACATCTTCAACTACTAAGCTTGAAATTTCAGATAGTAGATCATGGCCAATCCATGAGAATCCATTTTTGTAGACTGTAAACAAACCAGTTAATATACAAACTTTATTCATTGAATTCAGGCATAGTCTTCTTGATTTTTTCATTTTCTCACCACCATACTATCAATTTTAGAAATCATCTTCGTGTCTATCAAACAGTAGTAACTTTATTTGTTCCACTAATCAGGCCTGAGAAACTGATGGAAGAAAATAATTAAAGTAAAAGGTTATAAAAATAGTGATAATCAACTAACTTTTTCCTATGGCTTAAGTTTCTAGTGAAATTCATAGTTTGATTGGTCAACTAATGTTGGAAATTAAGTACCTTGAATTTGCACCATTGCCAACTATTAAGATTCTAACTGTCTCAACAATGGCATAAAAAAATCACACAGTAGACTGACTTCATATGCCTCAAACAATAATGTTATGCAGACTGTCTCCAACCTTCATGACACTTTGATCTCATAATTTGTAGAATAATAAGGCTAAAACAGTTCTATAATAATAGAGGTTCTTGAGGGAAATTATTTTGGATCTTGGCATCTCTTGCACCTTAACCAATCCATTGAATGATTGATCAACAAACCCAGTTTTATTTTTGTGGGGCACCCACCAAAAAACAATGCAGCATATGTAGTTTTCAATACAAATATAATCATGCAAGTGATTTGATTTCATAAAGATAAAGTTCGTGTACATAAGGAAAATTATACCCTGCAGCATCCATGACAGATCAGTCGTTACATTGAATAGATTAATCAGACAAATCTGCTGTCTTGATCCGATTCCTGCTTAAAATATACAGAAAATGATGTATGGGCATGCGGGTATGACCTTATGACTTATGATCAAACTTTGTCAAGACAACTCGTGGGCTTCATATTTTATGAATTGGCTCAACATTATATAGTAAGAAAATGCATCATATCAATCAATAATATGAATATGATTATTGAACTTTTAAGCAAATTATTTATGAGGTAAATACCTGGTAGTGGGAGGCAGGGCAGGAAAATGGATAAAAAATATCATGTGATGATGAAGAAAGAAAATTCCGGGAGGCTTCTCACACGAGTGAATTTGGGGAGGAACCTTCTTGTCTGCATTCAAACACGATAAACTAGTTTGTTTATGAGTTGGAATGTTGGTGGAGACTAGAGATCATGAAACATTGCTTGAACATCGCAATGGTTTTAAGATCCAAACCGAGCTGGAGTCACCACTCCTTGGTATGTGAAGCATAGAAGGTTTATAATGGCTCCCAAACTTGGCAATTGTATAATTAGCATAAACTAACCAACATGAGTTGACCTAGTTATATTATGGTAAGAGAAAAAACAAAAAGGGAACTCATGGTGGCTACCTAAGAAGCTAAGATACTTTAGTTTGGATAACGTGTCCGTGTCATATACTTCAATATTCCGACACTTATCGGACATTTGTTAGCTCAATAGATGTATGTCACACTAGTTGTTTAAAGTAAATATGGATTCAACACTTGTTAGACACGTATCGAGTACCTTTTAACATAAGAAATAGACATAAATAACGTATGACAAAATAATAAATTTTTAGAGTAAAATAGGCTCATTTTTTAAGCATAAAAATACTTAAACTTATTGACTTTGAGTTTCCTTCTCATATAAAAATGATATATACTTTAAAAAAATGATATATTTTAATAAACATGTCCTTGTTGTGTCTGTGTCCTAGATTTTTAGAAAATGATGTGTCACCGTTACTGTGTCTAGCGTCCATAACTGAGCTTCTTAGGTGGCTACCTACCAAAGATATTAAAATTCTACAAATTTCTTACCTGCCAATGTTTTTTATAGCCAATATTTTTACCAGTTGTCTAATAAGATTACTTGAGTAACACGTAACTCGGCCGACATTCACGGTTATGAAGTAAAAAATGAAAAAAGAAAAAAAAGAAAGAAGAGAAACTGAGGAGTTGATGAAACACAAACTCATCAAACCATATTGTTCATTGGCCTCTAAGACATTGTCTTTCTTGAGGCAATCACGATCGTCTCGCCGCTAACTCAAAAGCCAAAATGATTCCTCAAAAAGCTTGGCCACAAGATTGCTATACTCTGAGCGGCTGCGGGGCTTCAGCCTTTGGATTCCACTCATGCTTCAGAATCCACAAGCAAAAAGTTAAATGCTGATTCGGAAAAATGAATACAGAAGCTCGTGCTGGCCTTCACTCATGGAGAAAAACCTGTGTTTTTATCAACATTGGCACTTATATTCACAATCACATCAATTGAAAAAATATAATTGCACGCGTGCACTTGTGTGTATGTTTCTGACTTTCTTGAATAAGACAAAACTCTCTCAATTGCATTGCTTTTCCTACAATTTTCAACAAACTAAAAGATCCTTCGAACAATATCAAATAAAAAAAAAGGTACATAATTGAATAAGATGCATTCGTGTGGTTATAGAGAAAATACAATGAATGCCGGTGAGTAGGAACCTGGTTGGAGGGAGACATAGCTTGGACATAGCTGAGATATGATGAAGATCCATATCTCAATAATGCTACAGCACACTTTTTTAAATGAGGTTGAGATTCCCCATGTTTCTTCAGCCATTGTTATATATATGCTACCATCTTAGTCATAACACGAAGCCAAATTGAAATTGCTTGATTGATTGGTAATTCAATAGTTGGGCCTTTGTCTCCTCTAATCAAAGAAGGAAGATGGATGCCTCTGCTTTGAACCCAAGAATCTCTCACCATGTTCGTTCAAACAGCTTGCCCTCAAAGCCACACCCACTCATCAACCAAGTTGATGAGCAATTGGTCAGATTAAGGGATTCGGAAGCCACATCTTCTTCATCTTCATCTCTATGCCATAGACTCGGTGCCCTTCAAGATTTGCACGACTGCATCGATAAGTTGCTTCTTTTGCCTCTCTCCCAACAAGCTCTTATCCAATTGAGTGATAAGGAACTGCTAGATGACTTACTAGAAGGATCTCTCAGGCTTTTAGATTCGTGTGACATAGCAATGAATGCCCTGTTGCAAACCAGAGAATGCACAAATGAATTAGAGTCCTTTTTACGTCGAAGAAGAGGTGAAATTGGTACTGCTAGTTCACTTCAGGAATGTTTAAGTTCCAGGAAGATGATAAAGAAAGCAATCCACAAAGCCTTGAAGGGAATGGAAAGCAAGCAATCCCACAAAGATCATGGAAGTTTGACTATTGTCAACTTGGTAAAAGAGGTTGAAGCAGTGACATACCACAGCATAGAATCTTTGCTGTCCTTTATAGCAGGACCAAAGATGCCATCAAAATGGAGCTGCTGGTCTTCAGTTTCCAAGTTTGTGCAACCGAAAAGAGTAGCCTGCATAAGCGAAGAAACAAACATAAGTGTAGTAGAAAGATTGGATTTGACATTAAGTTCAATTACCAACCACCATACTAACAAATCAAAATCCCTTATTCAAGTTGAAGACATGCAGAACTCGCTGAGGGAATGTGGGACAAGCATTAAGGAAGTTGAAGAAGAACTTGAAAATCTTTACAGGTTCATCATCAAAACTAGAGTGTCCCTTCTCAATATCTTTAACCACTAAATGTGAAACCTTTGAAGGTGTCATCTGCCCCTGCCATGGTCACAAATTTTGAGTGTTGAACAAAATTATGTAGAACACCCCATAACGGAGTGTGCTCATGCTTGTATAAATATACATAAATATGCATATATGATGCACTATTTTTGGTTTTATGAAGAGCCTTTTTGCAACATTGCTATAATTTGAGTTTTGTCTAGTGTTTTCCATAATTTAAAGCAACAAAAACTCATATTACTCTTATGACGTTTGAAATTGCAGTGAATTTCATATTCAACATCTCCTTTGAGGAGAGAAGTTTGCCAATCTAGGGGTAAGAACAAGCACAACAGAATAAACAAAGGGATGCCATTGAATGAATTAGGCTCATGACTTGTTAAGTAAGACTTGAGAAAGAACTTTCAATAATTGTAATTTGATTTATTCAATCTTTTCTAGGAATAAAAGACTGATTAGTCATCATTGATGTCAAAGCTGAATTCACTTGCAGTATGGGAATGTCTTTGAGAACAGAAAATTGGCGAACGAAATTTTCTTTCCTGTTGCAGTGTTCACAAAGAGAGATTCAAATCTTCAAAGTTTTAAAATCCTACTTTTAAGAATCTTAAAAATCTTTATAGTTTTAAAATCCAACTTTTAAGGATCTTAAAATCTTTATAGTTTTCAAGTCAGTAAAACCTTCACATCTTTAGTGTCTTCATTATCTTCAAAGTTTTTAGTCTCTAATTCCAGTTCGCAAAATCTGAAACTGAACAATTGATAAAATAAACAGTGAAAGATAATAAGATCTAAGTGTATTGGCTTCTGTGTTTGTAGACAAAGCTAACACGATCTAATTGAAGCTAAAATTTTAATAAGACAAATAACTATAAATAATAAACAGATAAAACAAAGATAAAGTTACTAACAATCATAATAGTTAAAGATAAACTCTGCATGCCTCTTGTAATCAATGAAGTAATATCATTGGTACCTCTTTTGTGCATGGATGGAGTTCAACACAAGTACAATGTTGAATTTGAAAGCAGGTTACTGTCCTAGAGACATTCAATTGTCGGAGATAGTTGCTACTTTGGATGAGATACCTAAGAGAGGTCTAAAAAACACATAAACATGACCAACTAGATGCTAACTTTTCAATTCTTTAGTTTGATTCTGACACTCGGCACTTAAGCAAACTGGTCCAAAATTTTGGACAGGATTTATGATTTTTCAGAAGGTAAAAAGATTCAAACTGCAGAGTAGCTTGAACGAGTCCAGTTGTTGGGTAGTTTCACATCGGTTGCGAAAGACAGATGAAAACCTTATCTCTTGACTAAGCTTTTACCATGAGAAGACGTTTTTTTTTTTTTGACACCAATAAATAGTATAAGAGGTGGTTGTTTTGTTGGGAATAAAACTAGTTGGAATGAGGACAAAGCTATACAAGAAGACAGTCTTAGAAGTCGAAGGTAAGCCACTTCTTAAGCTAGTTTATGACAAACACTGCTAGTTTCGTCAGCAGGTTCGTTTTAATTTTGTGTGCGTATACAGGGAAAGAATGAAGAAACAGCAACACATAAAATATTCTGACATCCTAACACCAACAGTAATGGTTGAAAGCTGTAAAAGGCATGCGTGGTGTGAAGAAGTGATGCTTTTCCAGCAAACTAATGAACCTTATAAACAAATGGATATATTAATCCATTATAGTGTCAGATTCATGCATGTGGATACAGAGAAAATATGATAAAAGGCCAGCTTTGAACTCGGTGGAAGGGAGACATAGCAACAAAATTGCTGAGATGGAGTTGCAGATCCATATTACAATCATATAGCTTCTGGATTCTATTTTATTTCTTCAGCATTTAAAAAAATGTGGTTGAGGTTCCTACTGTCCCCTTGGTCTTAGTTATATATACTTCCCTGAATTCAAGAAAATGATCATTAACTGAACTTACTCAACCTTTGTAATTCAAAAGCTAGGCCTTTGTCTTCTCAAAGATAACAATCAAGAAAGGAAGATGGAAGCCTCTGCTTTGAACCCAAGAAACTCTCATCATATCCGCTCAAGCAGCTGGCCCTCAAAGACACACCCGTTCATTGATCAAGTCGACGAGCATTTATGCAGACTGAAGGAGGCCTCAGAAGCCACATCATCAACTTCATCTGAACTATGCCATAAACTAAATGGCCTTCAGGATTTGCATGATTGCATTGATAGGTTGCTTCTGTTGCCTCTCACCCAAAATGCTCTGGTCCAAGAGAGTGATAAGAGATGGCTCGATGATATACTCGAAGGATCTGTCAGACTTTTGGACTTGTGTGACATAGCTAAGGATGCACTGTTGCAGACAAAAGAATGTGTCCACGAACTAGAGTTGGTATTGCGCAGAAGAAGGGGAGGTGAAATGTTCATAGCAAACGAGCTTCAGAAATGCTTAAGTGCTAGGAAGTTGGTAAAGAAAACAATCTATAAAGCCTTGAAGACAGTTGAAACCAAAAGTTGCGAGAAAAGTCAAGCCACTCCGGCCATCGTCAGCTTGTTGAAACAGGTTGAAGCAATCAGTTACAACATTGTCGAATCCTTGTTGTCTTTCATAGCAGGACCCAAGTTGCCATCAAATTCAAGCCGTTGGTCTCTCATTTCCAAGCTTGTGCAACCCAAGAGGATAGCCTGCGAAGTTGAAGAAGCAAGTAAAAATGAAGTGGCAATGGTTGATGCTGCATTATATACAGTTTCCAGTCAAAAAACAAATAAACCTGATTTTCTTGTGCAAGTTGACAATTTGCAGAGTTCATTGAAAATATTTGGTTCAAACATTCAAGAAGTTGAAGGTGATCTTGAGGCTCTATACAAGCGCCTTATTAAAACTAGAGTCTCACTTCTCAACATCTTCAACAACTAAGCCTGAAATTTCAGATTGTAGTATCATGGCCTATCCCATGAGAATCCATTTTTGTAGACTGTAAAAAAAAAAAAAAAACCAGTAAATATACCAATTTATTCTGGTTTAGACTCCCATTTTTGACTTCAGGCACGGTCTTCTTGGTTTCTGATTTTCTCACAAGAACACTATCAATTATTAATATCATCTTGCTATTAATCAAACTGTAATAACTTTAATTGTTCCATTAATCAGCCTGATGAACTGATGGAAAATAAGTAATTACAATAAAAAATTATAAAAATAGCAATCATCGAGTAACTTTTTTCTTATGGTCTAATTTCTGGTGAAATCATAGTTTTATTGGTCAACTACGGTTGGAAATTGAGTACCTTGAATTTGATCCATTGCCAACTCTTAAGATTCTAATTGTCTCCACAATGGCAGACTTAATATGCCTCAAACAATAATGATATGCAGACTGTATGCGACCTTCATGACAGTTTGATCTAATAATCTGTATAATAATAAGGCCAAAACAGTTTTATAATTAGTGTTAGTTCTGGAGAGCAATCAATTTGGATCTTGCCGCTTCTTGCACAATAACCAATTCCATAAATGATTGATTAGCAAATCGAGTTTTATATTTTAGGAGCGCCCACCAAAAAACAATACACTATACGTAGTTTTGAATAAAAATATAATCATGTAGGTGATTGATTTCATAAAGTATGTGTACATAAGGAAAGTTATACCCTGTAGCATCCACGGTGGAGTCATTACGTGGAGTAGATCAATCAGAAATGAAGTTGGGCCCCTTCTGAAATCAAACAAGTCTGCTGCTTTGATATGATTCCTGCTTAAAATATAGAAGAAATTGATGAATGCGCATGTGGGTATGACCTTAACTAATAATGTAAAGGTGGTCATCATTATTGAATGAAAAGTTTTGTCAAGACAACTCGTGGGCTTTATATGTTACGAAGCGGCTTGATATATATCAGGAAGGTGCATGTGAAAAATAAGGAGGAAAGAAGGTTCCTTATTTTTCATGTGAAGGGAAGAAAATGGCAAAAATATAATGTGACAATGAAGAAAGAAGGTTCCTGAAGCTTCTCACATGTGTTCAAGTGGGGAGTAACCTTCTTGTAGGAGTCGAAACACGTTAAACTAGTCTATTTATGAGTTGGAATATTGGGAGAGACTGGGGATCATGAAACATCGCGAGAACAAACCGTGCTTTATCAGTATTGCCTCTTTTAAAGAGTATAATCTCAATTGTGCAAAAATATGAATGCACCCTCTGTTTGTTACTTACTGGTCTCAGTAGGATAATGGAAATTGGGAATGTGAATTTAATAAATTGGTTTTCTCAAATCTAATTGGTTTTTACTGACGCTTGAAAATTTAGGATATGAAACCTAAGCTTACACGATATGTAAAAATCTTTTCACAAGCAACCAATTCCCCTGGGTTCCAAAAAACCAAATAAGATCATATCACAAAAGTTAAAAACCTATTTAGTTCTTGTTCATACATATGTGTAGCGCGTGGTCAACTGTTTGTTGCTTTCATGCATAAGACAGACTGTCAAAATTGCATGGCTTTCTTGTGATTTGCATCAAACTAATGGACCTTTCAAACAATACCAAATTTAAAAAGGTATATAATTGAGTAAGATGCATTCGTGTGGTTATAGAGAAAATACAATGAATGCCGGTGAGCAGGAACCTGGTTGGAGAGGGACGTGGCAAGGACATAGCTGAGATGTGATGAAGATCCACATATCCATAATGCTGTAGCATACTTTTTAAAATGAGGTTGAGATTTCCCATGTTTCTTCAACCCTTGTAATATATATACTACCATCTCTGCGAAAACATGAAACCAATGCCATCCATTATTATTACCAGTGTTGAAACAGTACATATGTACGATTGCTTCTTGTTTTTAACGAGTGGCCCATCTAAAGTTGGTTGCTATTTACTCCTATACTTTAAAAAGTTTCTAATAGGTCCAGGACCTTGTAAGTTTGTGTTTATCTTGTATTTTTAAAAAATTTCTAACATGTCCCTAACGTTCAATTTTGTGTCTAATAGATTTCTTTCACTAACTCCGTTAGTTTAAACTTACCTAGTACACTGATTGTATTTAATGTATTATTTAAAGATTACAGGGCGGTTGATCTCAAACAAATTTAGGTATAGGATGACATAAGCATTAAACTAACGAAAGACCAATTACACACAACATTAGAAGTTCAAAGGTGAATAATAATCTCCCTAAAACTCAAAGACAAAATAGACACAACCTTGAATGATCTATTAAAAACTTTTAAAGTATAGAGGATCTATTAAAAACTTCTAAAGTATCTAGTAGGGACATGGAAGTTAAATTCGAAAGGATTTAAGATCATACTACATATAATGGAAGAAACTTCTGTGCACTTGGGGACGGAGGAAGTTCACAAAATAAGATAGAATTTAAAAAGGCCATCATCAGCGTAAAGGCCAGACAATAAACATTATATAGCCTAAAATTTTAATGAAGCAAGTGGTTCCAATTTGTCTGTTTACTTCGGTAAAATATTAAAAAATGAATCATTCGTGTGCATTGAGGTACAGGTTACACTTCTAGTTGTGCTTGGTTCATATTAATCACCTTTTTTTTTTGCCGATGACACACTCCTTTTTTCTAAAAAGGACCCCAACACCATCAAAAATCTTCACAAAGTCATAAAGTTCTTCGAGATGGCATCGAGTCTCAACATAAACTACAAAAAAATCCAGTGTGTATGGCATCTCTACTTGTCCACAAATTACAAATCAGATCGCTAAGGAATGGGGCTGTGCATATGTGGTGTAATACCAATGAGAGAGTTTTATTAAAATTTTGAATCAATCTTACAAGAAGTTGGAAGCTTTTTAAAGAGAGAACCTCCAACGGCTAGTTGCCTAACAGAAAATAACTAACATTAAAAAAGGCTAACGACTAGTACTTAATACAAGGGAAGAATAAATGGTTTACATTACATCAATATGGGAGCTGGCCAAGTACCTATTTGGGTCTCCCCCAGAACAGTAACCCTAGAAGGGAGGTTTTCTAGAAGCCGATTATAGAAAGGATCCAACACTGGCTTAGCAAATGGAGAAATCTTTCCATTTCAAAAGGGGGAGACTCACCATCCTCCAATCGGTCCTCACAAATCTACCCATATACTATCTCTCCATATTCAAATTATCTAGCAATGCAGCAGATCTTATCAAGGTTTTCAGAGATTTTCTAACCGAATACAAATGGGAACCCTCATCTCATCAATTGGTCTCGCTCCCAGCTCCCAATTTGTGAAGGTGGCCTTGGTGTTGGGAACCTCAAACAAAGGAACCATTTGTGAAGGTGGCCTTGGTGTTGGGAACCTCAAACAAAGGAACCGAGCACTTCTTTCCAAATGGATTTGGAGATACATCACAGAACCAAACCAACTATGGAGAAAGCTCATCTCGGCAAAATATATAGGGTCTTCCTTGTTTATATGGCCAAACATTCGATCTAATGTTTACAAAGGCCCTTGGACTGGAATTTATCAACAAACCAGCTTTATCAAGAGTTCTGCTTTGTGCAGAGTTGGAGAAAACAGTCAAATTAGTTTTTGGAGGAACAGATGGCTCACGCATGGAACCCTGGACAGCCTTTTCCCACAACTATACGCCATTTCGACCAACAGAGAGACAGCTATCAGAGACTTATGGTCAAAAACATCTTCTTCATGGGATTATAATTTTCGCCGACCTCTAAGAGTTCTCAGATTGGCTGCGTCTCTCCCTCATCCTAAATGAAAACATACCCACCACCAATTTGACAGATGGACTTGGTCTCTTGATGCAACCGGCTCCTTCTCCACCAAATCGGCATTCAGCGCCCTCACTACCAATGTTCCCCGACCGGCCTCCACCCTCTTCCCTCGCATATGGCAAGGAAAATGCCCCATAAAGGTTAAGTTTTTTTTGCTGGGAGCTTAGTCATGGGGCGATAAATACCCATGACAGGATTCAAAGAACACACCCATATTTATCTCTCTCCAAATTGCTGTCTTTTTTGTTTTGGGGCACAAGAGACTACTGTTCTTTTGCATCTCGTTTTTGGAACCATCTCCTCACTTCTTTTGGATGGAAGACAGCCCTTCACAACAAGCCATCTACCTTTCTTGAACAACTCTTGGTGGGACACCCTTTCAAGAAGGAAAGAGCAACTCGATGGGTTCAGTTTGTTCGGGCTTTTCTGTGGAAATTATGGTTGGAGAGGAACAACGGGGTCTTTAATGACAAAGCCCTTCCTTTTGACATCATTTTTGATAGAGTTATATTACTAGCTCTTGGTTGGTGAAAATGTTTCTACCCCTTTAATAGTTAGTCTCTAAATGCCCTTATTACAAGTTGGCAGGCTTTCTTGTAATTGCCTATATGACTTTTTGTATATTTCATACCATCAATGAAATATTGTTTCTCACGGAAAAAAAAAGTGGTGAAATTAATTATATCAAGGAGTCATATCCTTGTTGTATGATACCAACTATGTCAACGGCACTCGTGGGCTATATAATTTATTAATTGCCCAATGAATTGCAGATTATATGCATATATTGAAGCTTTAAATAAATAAATAATGAGCTACCTGGTGATGAGGTGACATAGTACAAACATGGCCTGACATATAGTTGAAGATAGATGTGTAATTTAATGTAGAGGAAGGAAATTGACTCAATCACATATTTGCATGTGTGGAAGCAACAATCTTGTCTTTGCAAGTGAGGCCCAGGTCACCTCTTTCTTGATTAGCGAATAATATTGATGCCACTGGCTTGTATATGGAGGGATTCTCCTGCAAGTAGAACAAATTAATTTAATTAGTTTATGTGCCGAAAACATGGTGGATAAGAGACATTGCCAAACATTGCTGCAGAGATGTTTAGATCTAGATCATGGACAGTCTATAATTGAATAATCAGGAAGCATGCACGATCCCATATCATCTCTATTACAACAAAACTATACCTTCTAAGAAATAAATATAGTTGATAATTTTATTTATGTGTCAGATACATGCATGTAATTATAAAGAAATTTAACATAATTAATGGTGGAGATATGAAACAAGTGAGAGGGAAACGTGGCATGGACATTGCTGAATTGGTTTGTAGATCGATAACTTAAATTATATTTCAGATGAGCATGAGATTCCTCTTGTCTCCTAACCCCGGTTATATATATACTCCCTGAATGCCAAGAGATGAAGGCAGATTGAAATTGCTCCACTTTTTTATAGATCATTAGCTAAGATTTTAGCTTCTCCAACTGAGGAAGAAAAATGGATTCCTTTGTTGTGAACCCAAAGGCATCACTCCACATTCGCTCAAATTGCTCAAATTTTGTTAAGCAATTGGTTCTAACCTGCGCTGTTTACTTTAGTAAAATATTAAAAAAGAAATCATTCATGTGCATGGAAATGAGATTAAAAATATCAAGGAATCATGTCCTTGCCGTATAGCTATGTCAAAAGCACTTGTGGGCTTCATAATTTATGAATTGCCCAATAACAAATTGCAGATTATAGCACATGTTGAAGCATTGATTGAATAAATAATCAGCTAAAAACCTGGTGATGGGGTGACATAGCACAAAAATCGCCTGACATATAGTTGAAGATAGATTTATAATTTGATGTGCAGAGAAGAAACTGATCCGATCTACCCCACATTTGCATGTGTGAAGCAACAATCCTGTCTTTGTCAAGAGAGGCCCAGGTCACCTTTTTCTTGATAAGCAAACAATATTCATGCAATTGGCTTGTATATGAAGAGATTCTCCTGCAATTAGAACTCGTTAATTTAATTAGTTTATGAGCTGAAAACTTGGTGGAGAGGAGACAGTGCCAAACGTTATTGCAAAAATGTTTAGATCCAGATCATGAGCAGTTTACAATATAATTGAATATTTAGGAGGCAGACATGATCCCAAATCATTTGTCTATTACAATAAAACTATACCAAATTAAAAATAGTTGAAACTTAAGAATCCTAATTTTGTCAGATACATGCATATGATCATAAAAAATTTGACATTATTAATAGAGACATGAAACAGGTAGGAAGGAGACATGGCATGAACATTGCTAAATTAATTTTGTAGATCCATAACTTAAACTATATTTTGGACTAGAATGAGATTCCTCAGGTCTCCCAAACCCCAGTTGTATATATACTTCCATGCCAAGAGATGAAGGCAGATTGAAATTGCTCAACCTTTTCGTAAGTCAATAGCTAGACTTCTATCTTCTCCAAGTGAGAAAGAAAAAATGGATTCCTTTGCTGTGATCCCAAAGAAATCACTCCACATTCGCTCAAATAGCTTGCCCTCAAAGCCACATCCAATCGTTGCCCAAGTTGATGAACATTTGTGCAGATTGAAGTCTTCTGAAGCCACTTCTTCAACTTCTTCTTTAGGCAGCAGACTCGGCAGCCTTCAAGATTTGCAAGGCTGCATTGATAAGTTACTTCTTCTACCATTCACCCAACAAACTCTTGTCAATGAGAGCGATAATAAATGGGTTGATGACTTACTAGAAGGATCTCTGAGGCTCTTAGATTTGTGTGATATTGCTAAGGATGCATTGTTGCAGACAAAAGAATGTGCACGTGAACTAGAATCAGTTTTACGCAGAAGAAGAGGTGAAACGGTTAGTGCAAGTGATCTAAAAAAGTGCTTGAGTTCTAGGAATATGATAAAGAAGACTATCCACAAGGCCTTGAAGGGCATCAAAAGGAAGTGTTCCCAAAAAAGTGAAGAAAGTTCAGCAACCGTTGGCTTACTAAAAGAAGTAGAAGCAATCACATATAGCACTGTTGAATCAGTATTGTCCTTCATAGCAGGATCAAAGTTGCCATCAAAGTTGAGTCGATGGTCTTTGGTCTCTAAGGTGGTACAACCTAAAAGAGTAGCTTGCAACAGTGAAGACACATATGCAAATGAAGTAGAGATGGTGGATGCCACACTCAATTCAATTGCCAGCCACACAACAGATAAATCCAACTTCCTTATGCAAGTTGAAAACGTGCAGGACTCTTTAAGGAAATTTGAGTCAAGTATTCAGGATCTTGAAGAAGATATCGAGAGTCTATACAGGCATCTTATCAAAAATAGAGTCTCGCTTCTCAACATCCTAAATCACTAAGGCTGGAACTTAGATAATAGTACGATGGTGAATGCCATTAGACTTCATTTTTGATAAATGTAAACACCAAAGTGTGTATATATACCTTTCTGAGTTCATAAGATAAAACTCTTTTGAAATCAAAATCCAGTTTCTGAGCTTAGTATAATCTTGATCTTCTTCCCCCGATTAATTATTTCCAATATTTATATTACTGATTCGTGCTATCTTTCAAGGGGCGGAAAAAGACGCCACCCATATTCATGTCACAATTTTGGTATATCAACTTTAGGAGATCATAATTTCTCACTTGAAGTTGAAGGATTTTTAACTGCTAAGGAATGAAAAGAAAAGGGCGTTCACATTTTGCAAGCAATATTTTTCATGTAACTTAAACTATTCTAGGTTAATTAGGGGTCAATTAGCCAACCAAGGTTACCTGATGAAGCTAAGTATTGAATTTTAGATTGGCACTGCTGTCAATGATTCCAATTGCCCCAATAATGGCGATAAGCACCAGAATCACATGGTAGGCTGCCGTCAACTAAGAGACAATTTGCTCGATTATCTATATTATAGTAAAGCTAAATAGTTTTTTATTCATAAAAAAATTAATGCAAAGCTAAATAGTTTTCTGCTAATGAAGGTTAGCTAGAACGATCATGGCGGATCTTGCCACCTCTAGCACAATATTCACCACTTTAACTGATTGATCAAAACGTTGCATGAATCAAAGTACAATTAGGTTATCTATTTGTTCATTTTTACAGACAGAATTATGGGAGTGAGAAGATGGGAGCACAGCGGGGTCTGGGAGGTCTAAGAACTCAAAAGGAATTAATACATACTACATATAAACAGAAGCAACATGCAGCAGCAAAGGAAGCAGAATCGGGAAGAAGAAATTATGATAGCAAGCATTTCTAATCTTGTTCTTGTTTGCTTGCAGAAATTAGGAGGAAGAAGAAGAAAAAAAAGCATTAAACCCAAGGGTAAATGCCCTTTTCTTTCCTTGTGGCAGCCTAAAAAGAAGTTCTCTGCAGCAATGGAGGATCCGAAAATTATGGAAGGTTAGCCTGATGTAATTTTATCAAATGTAAGAGGTTGGAAATTATAAAATTAATAAGCCAGCACCATTCCTTTCTGTGTGGTTCCAAATATGTCAACAGCACTCGTGTGCTTCAAAATTTACCAATTGCTGGACAATCAATTGCAGAATATAAAATATATAGTAGAGGCATTGAGCAAGCGAGAAGGGAAAGACCTGGAGATGGAGAAACAGAGCATGGACATCGCCATGATATCTTTGGGAACAGAAAAGTAATTCGATGGATTGGGAGGAAGAAGATTCCCACACGTTTGCATGTGTAAAGCGACAATCTTGTCCCCTGCAGAGAGAGACCCAGTTCAGCATTTTCAAGGTAAGACAACAAAAATGGTGCGACTGCCTCGAATAAGAGACATTAACCGTATATTGACATGGCAGTCATTTGAAGGAGAAACATGAATATGTAAAATTGAGCTGTTGCGATATTTCATTACTTCTTTTATATAAATTCTCGTAAACAAAAAACAAAATTTTAATGTAAAAATCATTGGAACGTATACAATATAAAAACTTGTATATTGTAATAAGCATGTCCTAGTCAAGTCCGGGTCCTAGATTTAAAAAAATAACGGGTCACGGTATATGAGCCTTGTTCAGTACCTCAAAGAAAATAAACCATATGTAATTTTATAAAAGAATTGGGTGAGGCCCAATTGTCAATTTTTATGCAGCCAGATTGACCTTGAAACTCCAGGAAAGATGCTTTAACCTATTTCACTTAACTATTACAATACAGCTGTGACTTCTAAAGAAATAGTTTGTGTCAGATACATCCATTTGATTATAAAAGAAATTAGCATCAATAATGGTGGAGATAAGAAAGAGTTAGGAGGGAGGCATGGCATGAACTTTGCTGAATTATTTACTTCTGCATATCCATTAATTATAATTAGATGAGCTTGATATTCCTCATGTCTCCATCAGCCAAGTTATATAAATATGCTTCTCTGATGGCCAAAGGATGAAAGCAAGTTGAAACTGCTCTAGCTCTTTCGTAGTTCATTAGCTTAGGCTTTTGTAAAAAATGGAATCCTTCGCTGCAAACTCAAAGAAATCATTCCACATCCGCTCTAACAGTTTGCCATCAAAGCCACATCCAGTCGTCGCCGAAGTTGATGAACATCTCTGCAGATTGCAGGCCTCTGAAGCCACTTCTTCATCTTCTTCTTTGTGCCAAAAACTTGATCGCCTTCAGGATTTGCATGGTTGCATTGATAAGTTGCTTAATTTGCCACTCACCCATCAAGCTCTTGTTGACAACAAATCTATTGATGACTTGCTTGAAGGATCTCTCAAGCTCTTGGACTTGTGTGCTTTGGCTAAGGATGCATTGTCGCAGACAAAAGAGTCAGCACACGAACTCGAGTCAGTTTTGCGTAGAAGAAGAGGAGATGACATCGTAGGCAATGTTCAGAAGTATTTGAACTCGCGGAAGATGGTGAAGAAGGCAATCCAAAAGGCCTTGAAGGCCATGGAAAGAACAAGTTCCCAAAAAAGTGATGAAAGTTCAGAAATTGGTAGCTTGTTAAAAGAGGCAGAAGCAGTCACATACAGTAGCATTGAATCCTTGTTGTCATTTATAGCAGGACCAAAGTTGCCATCAAAGATCAGTAGATGGTCTTTGGTTTCCAAGCTGATGCAGCCCAAGAGAGTGGCTAGTAAAGATGAAGACACAAATGGAAATGAAGTAGAGATCGTTGATGCTTCATTAAATTCAATCACCAGCCACAGTTCTAATTTCCTTGTGCAAGTTGAAGATGTGCAGAACTCGCTGAGGAAATTGGAGTCGAGTATTCGTGACCTCGAAGGCGATCTCGAGAGTCTATATCGACGCCTCATCAAAAGTAGAGTCTCCTTTCTTAACATCCTGAACTATTGAGGCTTAAAACTTAGATAATAGTTTCATAGCCAATTCCATCAGGATCCATTTTTGTCAAATGTAAACACCACAAAACATATATAATATATACATATACCTTTTATAACTTTTTTGATATACAAATCAAGATTGTGAATTCGATATTATCTTCTTCGCTAGCTAACTTTTATTGCTATCTTTCTCACAAAATAAATAAATAAATAAATAAATAAATAAATAAAGGTAAAAAATTATTTCTAATCCTATTGTGGATGGAAACATGGTCTTATATCAAATAGAAGCAAAGAAGATCTTCATGCTCACTTAATACAGAGTGAACAATATAATATCATGGTGATGAGGGCAATAAATCCACTGGAAACTTTCATTGTTACAACCATCAAGGGTTGCAGACTGTTGGAGAAAAACAAATAGAAAAAGATTGTGTGTTCTCCCTTACAAGACTTAAACTCTGGTATGTTAACTAGAGGTCAATTAGTTAACCAAGGTTACCTGATGAAGCTAAGTATTCAAATTGGCATTGCTGTCAAATATTCCAATTGTCTCAACAATGGTGATAAGCACAAGAATCACATGGAAGCTTGCGATTAACTTTCATGCAACATCATGTAGGCTGTCTTTCACCTAAGGGACAGGTTGATTCAATTATAAGTATAATAATATAACTAATCAGTAAGCAGGCCGTATCTCATCGTGTGGGATTTAAATAATAAATAATGAGCTGAGTTTATGGTAGGAGAGTCAGCATGAAAATCGTGGAGATGTTATGGAAGATGGATAACCAATTTGATATGTAGGATGAGCAAGAAGATTCACGAATGTGCATGTGTGAAGCAACCTCTTCTTGTCTCCACATTGACAGGCAAGCTTAATCTTTTACAATATAAACAGATCTGAACAGGTTTAATTTAATTTAGATATGAGTTGGAGACATTGTAGAGAGGAGACATTGCAACATCGGTATCTAGATCCAAATTCAAATGCCAAAAATTGCGCTGATTCCTGAAAAGTCTAAGCATATGAAGTTCCAAATGTCTCCCTCGCTTCCTGATATATATTAAGCAGATAAAGAGGGGAAAAACATAGAGATAACTTGGCTGTTGGATATTTGTAGAGCAATGAAGGAATGTCTTTATGAACTTCGGTCAGCCATTCATCGAAGACCAGGGGGTGAAAGTGGCCTGGAGATAGAGGTTATAAAGTCCTTGTCTTCTACAAATGTTGTAAAAAGAGCAGTCCACTCGGTCATGGATGGATCCAAAGTTGTAAATAGCTGAAAGCAAAGACAGCCTGCTAATTGCAACAAAGGTATAGAACTGCAGCCATGGTTAGCCTGTTGATGGTTGTGAATTCGATCAGTCCAGGTCTATTTGAATCGTTTCCTTATTTCTAGGAAGCCGAGGCTGTTGGTTGGTATTACTGCTCAGAGCAATGCAAAACAAATAATTAGTATCTCAAGTATTGTTTAGGATGCAAATACAGCCTCAGTCGGTTATAGGTGGATAAGATCCTTGGTAAAAATGTAAGAACAAAATGTCTAATGGTATGAGACTTTCTAGGTAGAATCTGAAAATACAAGCTTGTGGGCTTAGGAGAGATATGTCATCCTAGCAGAAATAGAAGCAAGTGTAAATGAATTTACTGGTGTGGATGCTCAATCAAACACACATTAATTATCTGGATAAGCAAATTCATCAACATCATGGTAATTAAGAATGTCCAGAAGAAGCCAAAATAAGTGGATTTATGCACAAAATATCTAGAGCAAAGACCTAATCATGAGGAGTGAGCAGATGGAAACACAGTGGGGGCTGGGAAGTTTGAGAACTCAAAGGATTTAATACAAACTACATATAAGTAGAAGAAAGTCTGTGATGTGGACCCATAGAATATGACAAATGGAGACGGTCATTGTTTCTGAGCTTACYCGTCTTTTATTGCAGAAATTAGGAAGAACAAATGGTTTTCTTGATGCAATTTTGTCAAATATAAGAGGTTGAAAACTAGAAAATTAATAAACCAGCACCATTCCTTTCTATATGGTGCCAACTCAAACACAGCACTCGTGTACTTCATAATTTACAAATTTATCAAGAATCTATTGCAGAATATGAAGTATATAATACGGCAATGAGCAAGAGTGATGAGGAAAGACCTGGTGATGGAGAAACACAGCACGGACATCGCCATGATAAATTAGTTCAATGCATTGGGAGTAAGAAGATTCACACGTTTGCGTGCATAAAGCGACAATCTTGTCCTCTGCAAAGAGAGACCCAGTTCAGCATTTTCAAGATAAGCCAACAAAAATGATGCCACAGCCTCGAATATGGCAAGATGCTCGCTCGTGCACTTGGAACGCATTGGTTTTGATTAAATAATGAGTTGAAAGCTTGAGGAATAAGAGACATTAACTGTACATTGACATGGCAGCCACTCTCAGTATGTGCCGAAGGAGAAATATGAACTTGTAATTGTAAAATAAAAGCTGTTACGAAATATCATATTTCTTATACCCTCCACATAAAATTCTCATACAGAAAAAGAAGAAAAAAATTAATGTAAAAAACATCGGAATGTATACAAATCATTATGTGTATTTATTTAGAATGTATATTGTAATAAGCATGTCTGAGTCTATGAATTTTCATTTTATAAATAATTTTTTAATGCTGCTAGACCCCACATCATTCCCAATACTAAAATTTTCCTATAATTGGGTGAGGCAAATTTTTTATTTTTATAAAGCTAAATTGGCCTTGAAACTCTAGGAGACAGTGGTTGACCCCATTTCAGTTCTCTATTAAATACAGCTATGAATTACAAATAAATGGTGTTTGAGTCAGATACATCCATTGGATTATAAAGAAATTGGCATCAATAATGGTGGAGATAAAAAAGAGGTGGGAAGGAGGCAAGGCATGGACATTGCTGAATTATTTGCTTCAACAGAGCCATTACTTAATTATAATTAGATGAGCTTGAGATTCCTCATGTCTCCCTCGGCCAAGTTATATAAATAAGCCCTTGAAGGCCAAAAGATGAAGTCAAGTTGAAACTCCTCTGGCTGTTTTGCAATTCATTAGCTAAGGCTTTTGTAAAAAAGAAAATGGATTCCTTTGCCATAAACTCAAAGAAATCATTCCACATCCGCTCGAACAGCTTGCCATCAAAGCCACATCCCGTTGTTGCCGAAGTCGATGAACATCTCTGCAGATTGCAGGCCTCTGAAGCCACCTCTTCATCTTCTTCTTTGTGCCAAAAGCTTGATGGCCTTCAGGATTTGCATGGTTGCATCGATAAGTTGCTTCTTTTGCCACTCACCCATCAAGCTCTTGTTGACAAAAAATTTGTTGATGACTTGCTTGAAGGATCTCTCAAGCTCTTGGACTTGTGTGCTTTGGCTAAGGATGCATTATCGCAGACGAAAGAGTCAGCACACGAACTTGAGTCGGTTTTGCGGAGAAGAAGAGGAGATGACATCGTAGGTGATGTTCAGAAGTATTTGAACTCACGGAAGATGGTGAAGAAGGCAATCCACAAGGCCTTGAAGGGAATGGAAAGAGCAAATTTCCAAAAAAGTGATGAAAGTTCAGAAATTGTCAGCTTGTTAAAAGAGGCAGAAGCAGTTACATTTAGCAGCATTGAATCATTGTTGTCATTTATAGCAGGACCAAAGTTGCCATCAAAGATGAGCAGATGGTCTTTGGTTTCCAAGTTGATGCAACCCAAGAGAGTAGCTAGCAAAGATGAAGACACAAATGGAAATGAAGCAGAGATGGTGGATGTTGCATTATACTCAATCACCAGCCACAAATCTGATTTTCTTGTGCAAGTTGAAAATGTCCAGAACTCGCTGAGGAAGTTGGAGTTGAGTATTCCCGACCTTGAAGATGATCTCGAGAGTCTATATCGACGCCTTATCAAGAATAGAGTCTCGTTTCTTAACATACTAAATCACTGAGGATGAAAACTTAGATGATAGAATCATAGCCAATTCCATCATAATCCATTTTTGTCAAATGTAAACACCACAGGACATATATAATATATACAGATACCTTTCATAACTTTCTTTTTGCAATTCCAATCAAGATTTTGAATTCAATATCATATTCTTCTCTAGCTAACTTTTTGTAATACTAATATAGTTGATCTAGTCGGGACACGGATATAGTCACATATCAGATAAAAGTGGTAAAGATCTATTAGTGTATTGGTATGAAGCTTTTTTTGGGTACACATAAAACCCTAAAGTAAAATTATGCAGATTTAGGCCAAAATTAGACAACATTATAAGAGATATAGGGAGCTCATTATCGATCTAAGGTCTCTTTAGATGGAGGGGAAAGACTACCCATTATCCAACTCACCATTTTGGTTTCAAATCTGTAACTTTTCATTATTTCAACCATCAAGGGTAGCAAACTGTTGGAGAACAAGAAAAGGAAACGGATTGTATTTTTCTCGTCCAAAGTTATTTTTCCCTTACGGCTTAAACTCTGGTAAGTTAACTGGAGGTCAATTAGTTAACCATGGTTACCTGATGAAGCTAAGTATTCAAATTGGCATTGCTGTCAAAGATTCCACTTGTCTCAACAATGGCGATAAGCACAAGAATCACATGGAAGCGTGTGACTAACTTTCATGCAACGTTATTCGGGCTGTCTTTCATCCAAGGGATAGATTGATTCAATTATACGTATAATTGAATATTCATTCCTACAGGCTGAAGAAATCAAAGGATTCAATTATATGTATAATAACAAAGCTAATCAGGCCGTATCTCATCATGAAGGATTCAAATAATAAACAATGAGCTGAGTTGGATGGTAGAAGAGTCGGCATGAACATCGCCGATAGGATATAAAAAATCAAGCTTTGCACCCGTGCGCAACTGTGAAGCAACTTTCTTGTCTCCACAGAGGCCAGCAAACTTAATATTTAAAATACAAACAGATCTGAACATGTTTAATTTAATCTAGGTATGAGTTGGAGAGTTGGTGGAGAGGAAACATTGCAACAACAGTGTCTAGATCCAAATGGAAACTGCCTAAAATTGCGCTGATTCATGAAAATTCTAAGCAGATGAAGTTCCAAATGTCTCCCTTGCTTGCTGATATAAATTAAGCAGGTAGAGAGGGGAAAAAACACAGAGAGAACTTATTGAGCTAGCAGTTGGATGGATCACTCAGGCTGTTGGATATTTGTAGCTAAGCAATGAAGGAAAGTCTGTATGAACTTCTTGAAGACAAGGAGTTGAAAGAGCTCTGGAGATTGAGGTTATGAAGTACTTTTCTTCTACAAATGTTGTAAAAAGAGCAATCCACTATGTCATGCATGGAGCCCAAGTTGTAAATAGCTGAAAGCAAAGGCAGCCTGCTGACTGCAACAAAGATATGGCACTGCAGCTATGGTTAGCCTGTTTATGGTTTAGGAATCAGTCCATCTCGGTTTGTTTGAATCATTATTATTCCTTATTTCTGGGAAGTCAACCAAATCCAGTGCTGCTAGTTGGTATTTATTGCTCAGGGCGATGCAAATCAAATAACAAGTCTATCAAGAATTGTTTAGGATGCGAATACAGCCCTCAATTGGTTAGAAGCGGGGAAGATCCTTGGTAGAAATGTAGGAACAAAATTCATATTGGTCTGGAATTTTCTAGGTATAATCCAAAAAGAAAACCATGTGGATTTTAAGTCTAAAGGGACTGTCACTATGGAGATGTGGAGCGACTCCTAACAGAACATGGAAGTGAATGGAAATGAATTACTGGTGTGGATGCTCCATCAAACTCATAACACCTAAATTACTATGCATGTAACGTCTCTGTTATGTGAGCCCACTTAACTTAGAGGTTAGAGCATCACATTTGTAATGCGATGGTCATTGGTTCGATTCTGATAGCCGGCTTTTCTCTATTGATTTTTCACATATCATGGTGATCGAGAAATACCAGAATCAGCCAAAAGACGTGGATTTAAGCACAAAATACCAAGAGCAGAGACATGATATCATGATGAGTGAGCAGATGGAAGCACAGTGGTGACTGGGAAGTTGAAGAACTCAAGGATTTAATACAAACTGGAACTACTCATAAGTAGAAGAAAGTTCTGCCCGAGGAGAGTCAAGCTCAACATGCAGTAGCAAAGAGAGCACAATCATGATGTGAACCAATAGAATATGAAGTTTCCCTGTCTTTAGAAATTGAGTCGGTACCCTCATTTCTTTGCATGAATTAGGAAGTAGAAAAAGAAAAAATGCATTAAATTTAAAGGTAAATCGCCTTCTCTGTCCTCATGGTAGCACAAAAGGTTCTTCCCTGAACCAAGCAAGGTTCCGAAAGTTGTGGAAGGTTGTCCAGATGTAATTTTATCAAATGTTCCAGGTTAAAAATTAGAAAATTCATAAGCCAGCACTCATCATTTACAAATTTCTCAACAATATCCTGCAGAACGTAAAATATATAATAGAGGCATTGTGCAAGCGAGTGATAACGGAGAAACCTGGAGATTGAGAAACAGAGCACGAACATCGCCATGAGATCTTTGAAAACAGATAAATTGATTTGATGCATTGGGAGGAAGAAGATTCCCACACGTTTGCACGTGTAAAGCGACAATCTTGTCCTCTGCAGAGAGAGACCCAGTTCAGCATTTTCAAGATCGGGCAACAAAATTGATGCCACTAACTCGAATCTGGGAAGACGCCCGCTCGTGCAATCGGTAACGCATTTCCCAGACATTTTTACTGTACAATACATTCACATGGCAGCCATTTTAGGAGAAACTTCAATTTGTTAAATTGAGATGTATATTTCATTACTCCCTTTCATCTTTTATATAAAGTTTTCATAAACAAAGACAAATTATGTCATTTTCTTAGGTAAAAATCATTGGAATGTATACAAATAATAATATATGTATTTTAACAAAAAAATTGGCAATTAATGTCTCAAAGAACACTCAGAGGAACATCTTGCAAAACAAAGAGTTAGCACTCTTAAGGTTTTGTCAATATAGGATTCTAGAAATGACTCAATTCAAATTCACGTACCTTCCTCTCTTGCACTCTTGGTACTCTTGGTATTTATTTGAAGGAGAGATAACCATTGAAATCATGTGCCCACCTCAATGGCTATGGGATTTTAGGTGGATAAGACGGGGAATGTAGTTAAGTGGTTACTGCTCAAGTGATAACGATGAGTTAGGCAACAGTTATATAAAGTCACACTTGTTCAGAAGTTCGACCTTCGTTGCATCCAAACTTTCTCCATAAAGGACATGCGCAGAATTGGACTATTGACTTGACGATGACGTGTTCCTTGGTCAGATTCGGCCTTCGTCAATATATGTAAATATCTCAACGAGCTCAATGCTAAAAGCATGTACTAATTTTTTTGAGGTCGGAAGGTTCAAATCTCTACTCCACGCCTGGGAGAGGTAGCTAAATTGGCAGTAAGTAGCCATGCTTGATCCTCCCATTTCATTTCTCTATTACAATACAGCTATGAATTATAAACAAATGGTGTTTGTGTCAGATACATGCATTGGATTATAAAGAAATTAGCATCAATAATGGTGGAGATAAGAAAGAGGCCGTGGGAGGGAGGCATGGCACGAACATTGCCGAATTATTTGCCTCTACAGATCCATTACTTAATTATAGTTAGATGAGTCTGAGATTCCTCGTGTCTCCCTCAGCCAAGTTATATAAATATGCTTCTCTGATGGCCAAAAGATGAAAGCAAGTTGAAACTGCTCTAGCTCTTCTGTAGTTCATTAGCTTCAGCTAAGGCTTTTGTAAAAAATGAATTCCTTTGCTACAAACTCAAAGAAATCATTCCACATCCGCTCTAACAGTTTGCCATCAAAGCCACATCCAGTCGTCACCGAAGTTGATGAACATCTCTGCAGATTGCAGGCCTCTGAAACCACTTCTTCATCTTCTTCTTTGTGCCAAAAACTTGATCGCCTTCAGGATTTGCATGGTTGCATTGATAAGTTGCTTAATTTGCCACTCACCCATCAAGCTCTTGTTGACAACAAATCTGTTGATGACTTGCTTGAAGGATCTCTCAAGCTCTTGGACTTGTGTTCTTTGGCTAAGGATGCATTGTCGCAGACGAAAGAGTCAGCACACGAACTCGAGTCAGTTTTGCGTAGAAGAAGAGGAGATGACATCGTAGGCAATGTTCAGAAGTATTTGAACTCGCGGAAGATGGTGAAGAAGGCAATCCAAAAGGCCTTGAAGGCCATGGAAAGAACAAGTTCCCAAAAAAGTGATGAAAGTTCAGAAATTGGTAGCTTGTTAAAAGAGGCAGAAGCAGTCACATACAGCAGCATTGAATCCTTGTTGTCATTTATAGCAGGACCAAAGTTGCCATCAAAGATCAGTAGATGGTCTTTGGTTTCCAAGCTGATGCAGCCCAAGAGAGTGGCTAGTAAAGATGAAGACACAAATGGAAATGAAGTAGAGATTGTTGATGCTTCATTATATTCAATCACCAGCCACAGTTCTAATTTCCTTGTGCAAGTTGAAGATGTGCAGAACTCGCTGAGGAAATTGGAGTCGAGTATTCCCGACCTTGAAGATGATCTTGAGAGTCTATATCGACGCCTCATCAAAAATAGAGTCTCGTTTCTTAACATCCTGAACTATTGAGGCTGAAAACTTAGATAATAGTTTCATGGCCAATTCCATCAGGATCCATTTTTGTCAAGTGTAAACACCACAGTACATATACAAATATCTTTTATAATTTCTTTCGCAATATGAATCAATCTTCTCTAGCTAACTTTAATTGTTGAGAATGTGAACAAAATCTTACATCAAATAGAAGTGATGATCTTTAGTATTAAGAATAATTAACTCCTTTAGTATGAGGCCTTTTGAGTTGAATCTAAAAATAAAGTCATGTTGACTTAATCCAAAGTGAACGATATAATGTCATGGAGATAAAGGACAATAACTAAACTTTTATTGTTTCAACCATCAAAGGATTGCAAACTGTTGGAGAAAAGGAAAAGGAAAAAGCTTGTGCTTCTCTTTTCCAAAGTGATTTTCCCTTGAGGCTTCAACTCTGGTATGTTAACCAGAGGTCAGTTAGTTAACCAAGATTACCTGGTTAAGCTTAAGTATTCAAATTGGCATTGCTGTCAAAGATTCCAATTGTCTCAACAATGGTGATAAGCACAATAAGCACATGGAAGATTGAGACTAGCTTTCATATAAAGTTATGCAGGTTGTCTTTCATTTAAGAGACAGTTTGACTCAATTATAAGTATAATAATGAAGCTAATCAGGATGTATCTTATAATGTAAGATCTAAATAATGAACAATGAGCTGATCTGATCGTGGGAGAGTCGGCACACACGTTGCCGAGATGTTATAGAAGACAGATTACTGATATGTAGGATGAAAGAAGATTCATGAAGATTTGGACCAATGTGCAAGTGTGAAGCAATCTTCTTGTCTCCACAGTGGCAAGCAAACTTAATCTTTTATAATATAAACAGATCTGAACTTGTTTAGTTTAATTTAGATGTGAGTTGGAGACTTGGTAGAGTGGAGACATTGACACAGCATTGTCTATAACCCATGGAAAATGCCTAAACATGTGCTGATTTCTAAAAGGTTGAAGGAGATGAGTTTCAAAATGTCTCCTCTTACTTACTGATATATATCAAGAAGATAAAGAGGGGAAACTACACAGAGTTAACTGATTGAGATAGCAGTTGGAGGACTGCTGAGGCTGTTGGATATTTGTAGCTAAACCAAGGATACTTTCAAGTGCAAATGAGGGAATATCTGTATGAACTCTGCTCGACCATTCGCTAAAGAACAAGGGCTGAAAACGGCCTGGAGATTGAGGTTATAAAGTGACTTCAGCCATGGTTAGGATGTTGATGGTTGTGGAATCAGTTAGTTTTGTGTGTTCCAATCGTTATTATGCCTTATTTTCAGGCAGGCAAGGTGAAGTTCAAGGCTTCTAGATGGTATTTAGTGCTCGAGTTCATGCAAAGCAAATAAGTGGTGTCCCAAGAATTGTCATGGGCATCGATTAGAAGGAGAGAAGATTCTTGTATAAGAGTAGGATGCTTTTTGGGTAAAATCTAAAAGCAAAGTCATGCTTTTCTTAAGGCACAAATCATCATGGAAATATGAAGAGAACAGTTCTCTTAAAAGGAAATAGGAGTAAGTTTAGATGAATTTGCTGGTGTGGATGCTACTTCAAACTCACATTGCTCATCAAAAGAGAAGCAAGTTCAATGACATCCTGTTTGATTGAGAATGTGAGCCAGAAGAGAAGTGGATTTATGCACAAAATATCTAGATCAAAGACTCGAGTTCCTTGTTTAGTTGTCTAAAATTTGGCCTGTTCCCTCCTTAACACACCAACTACATGAAAACACCAAAAATTGTGTATATAATACCACTTTCACATGAACAATATAAAAAACTTATAAAAAAAAAAAATTTGTGCAAAAATGATGGTTGACTTCGTGCTAAAAAAGGAACAAATTGTGCACATGCACATATATATAATTATGATAAACAATGCAAACACGTCTTTTTGTTTTTTCTAAAAAAATCAGCTCTCCCAACACCGCTCGTGCGTGGCAAATTTTGCGGATTACTCATAGCATATTGAAGAGATAAGAAGCTAATGACATGGTGGTGGGAGACATAGCAAGAACAATGCTGAGATATCATTAAGTGCAGCACTTAACCACTTCGATATTGAGAATAGAGGATGAATTCTCAATTTCCCCCATGTGTTAATGTGTGGAACAACTCCTTTGTCTCTATGAAGGCAGACCAGGCTGAATTAGTTTATCTTTCTAAAAGAGAATCATATGTATAATTAATGGCATTTGCAGTGGTTAGCTTGTTAATCAGCTGGATACTTGGTGGAGAGGAGACATTGCTTAAACAACGCTGAGCAGGTGGTTTAGATCCAAATCTCATTCATGTAAAGCAAATGAAATTCCAAATATCTCCTTGACTTACTGATATATATATATTGATTTGGAACTGGTTGAGGAACACAGCCTTGTCAAGCTACATCTTCCTTTCATCTTCAAGCCTCCCTCTCTCTTAAAACATGGCTGGCTTTCCTTCAAGCAAGAAAACCAAATACCACACTCGCTCGAACAGCTTACCATCGAGACCGCACCCTCTCATTTCACAATGTGATGAGCACTTGACTAGACTGAGAGATTTCGATTCCACTCCTGCCTCCTCGTCATCATCCATAAGCAAACAGCTAAGTGGCCTCGAGGATTTGCACGAATGTGTCGACAAGTTATATTTGTTGCCCTGCATTCAAGAAGCTTTTGTTAGACAGTGTGGAGAGAAATGGGTTGATGAGTTGTTGGATGGATCTCTTAGGCTGTTTGATATGTGCAGCTCAGCCAAGGATGCCCTGATCCACACGAAGGAATGTGTCCGTGAGCTCCACTCGGCCATTCGACGAAGATCCGGGATCGAAAATGAGGTTAAGAAATACTTGGCCTCCAGAAAAGTTGTCAAGAGGGCAATCCAAAAGGCCTTGGAAACTAATAAGAGCGTCGAAAGCAAATGCAAGGTAGCTTTGGATGAGAGTGACCGCGACACTACGGCCATGGTTAGCTTGTTGAAGGGAGTGGAAGCAATTAGTCTTAAATTTTTTGAGTCCTTACTTTGCCTTATCTCAGGGAAGAACACAAAGACAAAGTCTAGTTGGTCAATTCTTAGTGTAATGCACAGCAAGAGGGGAGTCTCTCCTGAAGTAGAAGCAGATGTCAATGAATTTGCCAATATGGACAATGCATTGAACTCTGTTTCATGCCAAAAGACAAGTAAATGCAAAGACATTCAAGTGGATGAGAATGTTTGTACCCAACTTGAAAAGTTGGAGCTAAGCGCTCTAGATCTGGAACAAACAATCGAGCGCCTGTTTCGGCGTATGATCAAAACCAGAGTCTCCCTCCTCAACATTCTCAGCAACTAGATGAAAATATTATGAATAGTGTACATGATATCAGATTCAGCAATGTAGATTTTTTCAGGAAAAGAATACACACATGTGCCTCTTGGCACAAATTTTGTACAATTTTGAGTTCATAATGATACTTCTTTTTGCAGTTCCACCAAATTTTTGAGCAAGAATCTTCTATTTTTATCTCAAATTAGTCTTGATCTGACGAAATCATGAAATAGAAAGCACAGTTAGACATGATATTGGTCATTTTCAGGGTGAAGATTTGGTCCAAATTAGATAATATCTGTAAAAATTGTTATGTTCAAGTAAGATTTGCAAACTTCTAACCATCAATTCGATTCCTGTAGTTGTTTTCAAATGCAACATGCCATCTAAAAGTTGGATAAATTTTGAAGTTTCATACATACAATACACATTGGGCAAAACATTTTGAGATGAAAAGGAAATAAAATTTACAGACAAGTCATGAGGGGCCACTAGAGGGAGATTAGAGACCAAAATTTATCTACAAACTATACTTTTTTTATTCTTGGCTATGGCCTGTTGCTCTGTCTAACCATTAGAAATTGAGCATACTGGCATATGGGGTCAAAGTTTGAAGCCAGGGACTGTTAAATTGGGTCCAAAATAGGTCTTGGGTCCAGTCTAAGCTCAGTTTTGGAACTTGGAGCTCAGTCAGTTGGTCCAGCCCTGGTGGAAGTTGCAAAGATTTGGAGGAAAATTTTGCCTCCTCTGCTTTCTCTTCCTTTCGTTCATTTATTGTGACTGCTACATCTAGTTCTTTCTTAAAAGTTTCATGGGTTGGGGTTACAGAAGGAACCATGCCTTCCTGTTGGCTGCAAATGGAAATGGTCTCAAATGGTGATGGAGGTGATGAAGAGAAAGCATGGAAAGTCTTAGCATCTTCCTCCTCCATGGCTGCCCTTTGCTCTAGCACTTTCAAGGAAGTTGCTTTCCTGTAGATTTTGCACAGTACCATGTCCTGCATTACAAAGAATGTAACCATGAATAAATGGATTGCAACAAGTCATAAGCACATTCAAAGTAAGATGAAGAGCAGGAGAATAAAGTTTAGTTTAGTAATGTTTAGTAATGTTCCTGTTTACTGTTTCTTGTTTTTGGATTTGAAGATACCTTTGGCAATGGAGAGTTATCGGGTAAACGGTATTCGTTCATGATCCAATCAGTCTTGCTTCCCCTAGTTGCTCTTCCCAAGTAGAACACAAGGGTCTTCCTCAATCCAATGAGTCGTTTCGGATTTGATAAACTGACAATTTTTCGGTCCGACCCGGTTGCTTTCCAGTAACCATTTTTAGTGGTTCTGTTAGGCCTCCCACCCCCACCTAGCTTCCTATCTCTTCGCACAAAAAAGTACCACTCTCTCTCTCCAATTCTTGCCAGTCCTATACACAAAAAACACAATAATTCACAACACATTTCAACCTCATTGAACCAAACAAAACAGTGAACAAATATCTTAATATAATACAAACCAGGCAACTCCCAAGGATCATGATGGTAGAGATTAAGAATTCCAATAGGATCAAACTGCAGCCTCTTGCCAGAAACCACACGTTTCAGATAGAAATCCAGAAGCTCTTCTTCTGTGGGGTGGAATCTAAATCCAGGAAGATCAGTTTCCCGTGTCATTTTTTTTTAGTTCAGCAGTTTCTGGTGGTTTTACTACAAGGTTTATGAAGATATTGGCCCATATGCAGACACTGAAGCTGAGGAAAGATATTTATAAGCCAATTTAAAGATGATACAACACAAAATCTTGGTAAGTTCTATAAAGTTTTGGCTGTTAAAGAAGACTTGAGACTTGGTCAAGAAACTTTAGAACAGAAAATTTGAGTAATTATTTAGGCACTTGGCAACAAAAGAGGGGGAAAAGAAAGGAAGAAAGTAGACCCCACACGGCTTCTTCTTAGGAATTCATTGATTTTTGGGTACTTTTGGTTCTTTGCCAAGCTTCTTACGTGGAAATTCTTGGTGGGAATTTACAGGGCAAGTTTCCAACCACAGAATTTTTTGTTGTTTTGTTTAAGGAGGAATATGGGAGTTTCAAATTTCAAAGGCAAAGAAAAAAAAAGGTTTTTTTTTTTTTTTCTTTTTTTCATCATTCAGCAAGTCTTGAGTCTCTTCAATCCTCAGTGTGATGCAACCTGTGCTTTGTTGAATCAGTCCTGTGAAGTTTTGGTCTTGGCTTGAATCTTGAAAGAATGTTGATCACTTTTCGTACGAAAACGAGACTCCGTTCAGACGATTTCATTTTTAGTTTTCTGTCTCATATTATGTTTGTTTCCTACAAACTTTTGATACATTTCTCTCATTATTCTTATGAACTTGTTAGTTTCCATTTTCAGTTTTCAAAGTTTTAGCTTATAGCAGTGTTTATAAACTTAATTTTAAAAAATATAACCAAAATGTAAAATAATTATGAAACACCACATTGGGTGACTTCAAGTTTTTTATTCTATCTAAAGAATTATATTAATTTTCTATAGGAGATGTAATTCTCTTCCAGTTTACACTAGAAATCGTTTCCAATTGGTATTTAAATACCTCACATTACTTTTGGAAACGGTGTTAGGCATTAGACAATTTTTTTTTAGATCAAAATGGCCGCTGAAGAAAAGAGATGAACAAATAATTAATTACTTTTGGTCACGGTATTAAATTCCTATTTATGAGGAGAAATTAAAAAAATATATCAACAAAATGCCTCCACTGTTGTTAAATAAAGCTTAGGGGTGTTCATGGAACAGGCGGAGACAGAAAGTCTTCCCCATCCCAGTTCCCACCCCCATTTAATCCCTCGTCCCCACAAAATTCTGCATGAAATTTTAYAGGAATCGAGGAAAGGAGGATTTGTGACGTTCGAGTAGAGAGGGGAGGTTGGTAACTCAATCGTAAGAACTCTAAAATAGTGCACTCCTGGTTACTATATTCTGAAGTATGTGAGGGAGGACCAAACGTATTAAAAAGATTTGTGTTGTGTGTAGGCGGGACGGAAAATATCTTCTCCAGGAAAGAAAAAAGAGCTAAACCAACCGTTAAAGTCCAATCAGTTGGCCAGGATTTTTCATCAATTGGACCAAGTCTTTAAGAGAAAAATGGTTTTGAAAAAAAGAAAAAAATCTCAATAAAAAAACAAAAGAAAATCTTTACTCTTTTCTCTCTCATATCCCAAATAACTGACCATTCTATATCTTTTTAAAAAAGAAAAGTGAAAAAAAAAAAACAAAAATCAAAAGAAAAATTGATGATAAAATTTTGACTTGGAAGTCTTCTCTAATTATATATACACACACACACGAGAAGTCCTTCTTTATACAAGTAAACGATAAGCCCTCACTTCCTCTCTCTCACTTTTGCCCAAACTTTTTTTTTTCTAACTTTTTTTTATCTTTCATTATATTATTTTCTTCTTTTGGCTTGTTAGATTTGTTTAATTGAGAGTGCATCTATAAAAAAAAATGTAAAAGTATTAATATGGTTTATCATTTTCTTAGTACAGATTAGGGATTCAATGACTGCTGTATTGACATTATAGTTTATCTTTATAGTAATACATTTTAAAAATTTATAATATATCAATACACGCATAGAATTAGAATTAGAATATTGTATTTACCTAACCCATTTTGGAATTAGAATTAAAAAATACTGATATCACGAATTATTTTATTAACCAATTTTTGTCGAGCAACATGACTCAAATGGTTAAGACATATGTTTTGGTTGAAGATTCGAATCTTTACCTCACATGTTCTTGAACTTAAAAAAAAACAAAAGATAGGGAAGGTCATTTAATTTATCATGAGTTTTTCTATATTTTCTATTTGGAAATCTTAAGGTTGTTTAATAATGTTTCCGTTTCTTATTTATCATTTCTAATTTTATTAAGAAATTTTAAGTATTTAACAACTATTTATATTTCTTGATTTTTAGAAACATTTTCAAAATTATTGGATAGAAATTTTGAAAACAACACAAGCTAGTTTCTTGTTTCTTGTGTTCTCATTTTCAATTTGTCCAAATATAAATAAAAATATTGTCTTATCATTTTTGAATTTAGAGGCATTATTAATATTGTTTTTTATAAAATTACACGCGGATCATATAGATTAAGCTACTGTGTCATAATGGTACAATGAGTACTTATCAATTATATTAAAATTGCTATAAAAAAATTATATTAAAAATTTCTTAACTCATATATTGACTCAAGCCCTTGCAAGTGTAGCCCAAGTGTCTTCTTGGCACAAAAAAAAGTGTTTTTAATGAAAACACTTTTGTTAAACAAAGAAACATTGCATTAAATAGAAATAATACCACATTAAAGTTACATCTGGAGAGTGGTGACCACACATCACCATCACAATCCACAAAGGAAAATAATGKTCCCAAAAGACATGGAAACAATCAGAAATTGGCACACTTGGCCAATAAAACAGCTTGTTTATTCATAAAAAATACTAGGAATATGAACAAATTTTAGCCCACTGAACACCTCATCAATGGAGAGATTCCCAAACACCCGACCACCATCCACCATCACATAAACTAGAGAGGAGGAAATAGCATCCCTGAAAATCGCCTCCACAACAGTAAAAGAGGTCTTTATTATATTTAGATCTATACTACTTACTTCTAGGAAAAAAAAACTACGAAAGAATCGGAACAAAGCAGAGAGAAAATATCTTCGAAAAAAACTCAAATTTAGAATGGAGAAAAACCCACACCTCTCACGAAGAGGAGAAAGAGAGGAGGGGAATAGACTTGTTTTAAGAGAGGATTGGGCGGGTGACGGGGGCTTCTGATCTTGCATTAATGAAATCAATTATTATATAATTAAGCACTTGGGGAAGAAAAATTAGTTAAATACGTTATGATATAAATTAAAATTTATGGGACTTTCAATGTCTCAGCACATTAGATATATGATGTCGTCATAAAATACATTTTCTTAGTACAGCAATTTGGGGATATAAGGATCGGATTGAGTCTCCGACCTCGAGAAAAGGAGTAATATATGTTAATTACTACTAAATTATGCTTATGTTGGCTTGTCATAAAATACATTATTACACCTCGACCTTTTCATTTTCATCTATCTATTATGTATATCACCGATATTCATATTACATGAACAAATCAAATTCCATCAAATATATATATATATATCAACATAATTCACATCTTTAAGAGTACATGAATTATCATGTGATTCATAAATTTGGCTTCCATGTGTTCACCACAGTTGAAAAGTGCTTATGTCTCTATACCTTCCCTACAAAACATTTTAAATAGTATGCATAGAGAGATCATTAGATAACTCAAACCCGTATCCACTTAAAGACTCGTTTGATAACATTTTTATTTCTTTGTTTATGGTTCTTCATTTTTAATAAAGAAAAATGAATTGTATGATCCCAACATCCATGAATTTAAGTAGGATAAAACAATCTTTTTATTTATGTTTTTGAACAACTTGGAAACGTAGAAAGAAGAAAGTTTTGGTTGTTTCTAAAATTAATTTCTATACAATTTTGAGAATGTTCCAAAAAAAATGAGAAACAAGAAACATAGTTAGTTGTAAAATGCTTAAATTCCTTAAGAAAATTAGAAACGAAAAACAAGAAGCCGAAATGTTACCAAGCAGCGTCTACGTAGTAAATCTAAAACTTACTTGCAAAAGGGTAAAAAATTTAAAATAGGATGTTGAGGGGAATAAAATGATCTTTACGAATATTTGTTTCATAAGTTAAGCTTGTGTAATTGGTCATGTTTGGTAATTGACATATATCTTTAATTAATAGGGTGTGAGTTTGATCTCAACATTATTTTCATCAATACGCACCAACACGAATAAACGTTTAAACCTTATAAACTATTAAAGATCCCACACGTAAAAGAAAAAGGGTAAGGTTTATTGGTACTTTTGAGTTGAGTTGTAGTTAATTTATCATTAACATGATATCAGAGTAGGGGTCGTGTTTCGAACTTTTCATTAATTAAAGAAACATTCAAATCATATAAACTAAATGTCTTTCTTGTCGTCTCCTAGAGCTCATAGAATCATAAAATGTGAAGGACTAAATTCTAAAACGTATAGAATTCTACACAAACACAAATAAACGTTTTCAAACCCTATAAACCAAAATGTCTCTCTTGTCGTCTCCTAAAGCTTACAGAATCATAAAATGGATGATTTGATTCTAAAATGTTATTGTACACCAACACGAATGAACATTCAAACCATATAAATCAAAGGTCTTTTTCATCATCTCCTAGAGCTTTTATAGAATCATAAAGTGAAGGGTTAAATTCTAAAACATTAGTCTATATACAAACGCAAACGAACATTCAAACCATATAAATCAAGTGTCTTTCTTGACGTTTCCTAGAGCTTTGTACAACCATAAAGAGAACATTATTCTACACAAACATGAACGAACCTTCAAACCCTGTAAACCAAATGTTTTTCTTATCGTCTCCTAGAGTTATAGAAACATAAAGTGGAGAACGTGATGTTGAGATATCCATACATGAACTAAATTTATCCAACCATCAACTTAAGCTTTTGGGTTGAGGGATGATTTATTCATCCTTAACAGTATCAGAACGAGAGGTCCAGTGTTTGAACTCCTACATTGTTGTTTGCTCCCTATTTATTATAATTTCCATTTGTTGAGTATTGTTGCAATTTTCCAATTAGCCTACAAGCGAGAGGAGAGTAATCCATACATAAATTAAATTTACCGAGCGAAAAAATGAGAGAAACCCTAGCTAGGGTTGAAGATGGGGTGTGGAAACTAGAGATGGCACAAGAGTCAAAAGGAAGATCCAAGAGAGAAATGGGATATGTGGGGTTAAAATCAGGTGTACGGACGAAGAGGAGAAGGGAATGGAGGAGACAGACAAGAGGAAGAAGATGGGGTTTGTCAGTGGGGAACCAAAAATATAAAATATATAAATGGTTTGGTGGGGAATGGAAGTTGGCAGTAGCTGATTTCAGTCTTCAGTGCAGTGATAGAGAGAATTAAAGAAGAGCTATAAGCCCCTTTTTCTCCTCTTCTTTTGTGTATAATTTATTTTAAACAGGGGAATGTGCATCATTTTCATCACCATTATTCACTTTGGCCCACTGTTTCACCATCATATGATCTCTCTCTCTCTATTCATCCCCACTTTATTTGTTGAGTGGTTGGTTGGCTGTGGGAACCTCTCAAAACCAAAACCCCTTCAACCCTTTCATTCCAAAATATATCACTTGTGAGGTTAAAGTTGTGTAATTGGTTTCATTTTATCTTAATAGGACAGCCAGTACAAAAATGAGTAATAACTCCACTAGGGACGGGTACGCTCTATCATTATATAAAATGCTCTGAATGTATAGCGTTGGCAGATAACTTCAATTTTGTCTCAAACATTTTGATACTTTCAATTTTGTCCCCACAATTTTCTTTTCTCGAAAAAATATATTTTTCATTCGAAGGAGTATGTGAGAAACAATACAACAAAAGATGAGATAAGCTACATATATAAATGCAGTCCAATTTAGACAAACGGTAGAGATAGCATAATTATAAAAAAGGGGCGACTTAGAGGACCACGAAGAAGATGCAGGTTTTGATGTCGTCCCAAAGTTGAGTTTTCGATTGGGAGGCTTCCAAAAAGGCACGGTCGTTTCTTTGCAACCAAGTATTTCTAAAGAATAGAGCCAAATACGTCTGCCCATAATACATATTCTTGTTGTTTGATAGAGAAATGTTCATGCACTCCTTTATCAAATCTTCAATATGAGCTGGGAGCGTAATGGAGATATTGAACGCTTGGAACAGTAAGTGCCATAAAGTAGATGTAAAAGGGCAGTGTATCAACATGTGATCTATCGTTTGTGAATTTCTTCTGAATTTTTTGTCCCCCACAATATTTCATTTTCTGTTGGAACATTTTAAAAAGGAGATTGTTAATGAAGACTTTTTACGAAAAAGTTTTACAGCATTAAGGACAAAATTGAAACTGAAACTCATACACCTCAAGGACATTTTGTATAATTTAGCCTATATAATTGAGTGCTTCTATTTTCTTGTCCTTGGTACAATTTCAAGTGAAATCTCTTTCCAACAAGGGATGGTTTTAAGCTGTGAGGATTACCGTTCAAAACGAACAATATCATATCATTGTGGAGATACGTGACATACTCGGAGTACCGTTGTCTTCAACACATCACTGGTGAAATGCTCTTGCCTCGTATCGCTAAATAATAGTTACACAAAGGTGGGCGGGAGCATGTTCACGGATCAACTCAATTTCAGGGCCGAACCTAAACCAAACTGAAACTAAAAAACAAAAACCACATCAAACCAACATCTTGGACGCTCGTTTGAGGTTTTGGACTCTAATATCATATTAATATTCATGATATTCATCTCAAAATCAATTAACAATCAGAACTTTGAAGGACAAAGACACCGAAGAAACAGTGGCTGCTGCCCGCCACTGTGTCATCATTGCCATTATGGTTTAACAAAAAAAACATGGAAATTAAGACTAGGAGACCACCACACCAAGTTGACAATAAGAGACAGGAAAAAGGGTCCCCAGTTAAGGTCACGTTGCCCCAAAAAACAAGGACCCTTCTGCCTGGACATACCTTCGTTTAGGGTTTGTTCACTCCAGGAATAGAGCTTTACGTGTCTTTCATGGACCCAAGTCGCAACCGTAGGGTACAACAAAACTACCCCACTTTCAGTTCCCCTTTTCATAAAGGAGCTGCCCATCATGCTTATCAGTTATCCCCACCCACATGTTTGAGGGGCATGCCCTTTATCCTCTATGCTATTATCGCTCCATTTCTGTCTGTGAACACAAAATCTCACATCAGCCAAGATCGAGAAAAAAAATTGTTATATATTGGTAAATATAGAACATTCTGGGTGAAGTCAAAAACAAATTCATGCATGTTTAAGTTTAAAGTGTAGATGACATCATATCATTATGAAAGTATAGAGAGATTAATTAGATATCGTGACATTTTTGTGTAACCTAGAGTTGTGAAATCAGAAACAACCTAGCTATATGTCTATATTATATCATATCATCGTGAAAATAGCAAAAAAGTGTGGAGGGTGAGGAGTTGCCATAGGTTCATCTTAAATTAAAAAAAAAAAACTATATTAAAAGACTTCCTAAAGTTTTAGAATTGAAAGGTTATTGTAGCAGGCACTGAATCGTGAATTTTTTCCATTCGTGATTGATCTTAATTTGGTTTTCGTGGATTCCGCTGTGATACTACAATACAAGAGGTTAGTATCCTATCCCACGAAAAATCCAACAGTTATATATATAAACAAAAATTTGGAATATAAAATTCTTCCCACCCCTAAAAATTTCTTGCGTTAAAGTTACAAACATATAGATTTTCCTACCTCTTACGATATGGARTATAAAATTTTAGGTTTCGTTTGGTACCTATTTTATTTTTTGTTTTTCTAGTTTGCAAATTAAGAAAAAAGTTTTCAAAATTTTGTTTTCATATTTTTGAAATGTGGTTAAGAATTCAAATGTACCGTACCCAAAAATGAGCTTAAATTTCCAATAATAAAAAGGTTAAAAACAATAATAATTTCACTGTAAAAAAAATTTCAAGCCATACGAGCCTATAGAAAAGAATGTGACCCAAATAATGCTTTTATATTACATCTGATTCTATTAATATATTGTGTTCTTGTTGTTAATTAATCAAGCATTGGATCTCTATAAAGAATTAATCTCAAGCAAATTTGATATAGACAGCCAAGAAATGTTACACATGATCTTCTAAAACATATGCTGTGGCAGAAAAAAAGACAGAAATTAAATTTTGTTCATCTCTCAATAACTCATCAAGCTATTAATTGCCAAATTGAACAAATTTCAAAAAATTTTCGAATTGCAAATTGGCAAAATGCGACAAACACAAGCCCAAGTTGGGGTAAACGATTATCTCTCAGATGATCACTTTGAATATGAAGTTTCAATCTCTCTCTTTTTCTTTCTTTCTTTCTGCAAATTTTGCAGCAGAAAATGCTTTTTCAGAAAGCACAGAGAAAGCAGCCACAGGCTACAGTTTCAAAAAAACAAATATCTCTGTCTCTGCCAAAAGGCAAAAAAAAAAAAGAAAAAAAGAATGCTGATATTGCTCTAGTGGTAGTACTACCATTGATGCTCAATCATCAGCTCTCTCAAACGTAAACAACCTCAAAACCATTCATTCCAAACACATCAAACTTACGCGAGATAAGGTGGAAAATGCCGATGAACTCCACATCATTCTTAAACGTTACGACATGGCTCGAAACATGGCACAATTGTTTTGGAGTTTGATTCTATATAATCTTTTTGTACACGGAGAGCAATATCAAAATACAAGCCAAGAGAGAGAGGCAACTTCTAGTTTGGGCCATTTCTGAATTTTCCATATSGGTTAAGGAATGATTGATGTGAGAGAAACCCAAAATCAAATCAAAGGCAAGACGATTAAACCCAAAAAAAAAAAAAGACTAAAAAAATAAACCCTTTTTCCAGTTTTTTTTTCTTTCATGTCTCTTGTTTTTCTAGAGAGCTATTTGGGTCTGCATTTTGGTGGCACTAAACCCCACTGGTGGCTGTGGCTGCTGCTGCTCAACCTCCCACAATGCCTTGGCTATAACCCCATCGTGCACAGGTACATACTCCTATCTCAGCCAAGAATAGCGTTAATCATCATAACCAAACACCCCACACACAACAGCATATAATAGTTAAAATATTATTTAAGTCCCCACGTATTCCACGACTTTCAAATGTCTAAATTTAGTCTTACGAATAGTCTCTACTGTTAATTACAACATCTCTTAACTCGTAGTTCAAAAAGTCTATAAAATATGTTTATAGGGATTTCATTCCCACCCTTCTTGGAGGTGCAAGGACTAATTTAATAAATTCAAGAGTATATGAACTAAAATGGAATAAATTTCAAAGTTCGAAACCAAAATAGTATTTTACCCTGTGTATATTATTTTTCCATTCATGAGAAAGAAAAAGGAAAGGAACTTCATTTTTTTCACCTCAAGCTTCTGAACAAGTTCTTTGGCGTTTGGAGCAGAAACTATGATACCACGTTGAGATGGCTTTATGAAGCCATCGTCCACAGCTTTGTCAATGAACGTTAAAAGATAGTTATAGTAACCATCAACATTCAGCAAACCCACCTAGAAAATAAGTACAAATTAAAAAAAATGGAAAAATGGAAAAGAACCATGTAAAAATGAAAGTAATTCTCTGTTTTTAGAAATTATGTTGTTTTTTTTTCTTTTTTTTTTTTGACATTTCTTTAGTAAAATTTTCACTAAAACATATCTGAATTCTTAACAAAATTTCAAAAATCACTGGATAAAACAAGGAAACACATGGATGAACGTAGCATTTCGAATCTTTACTTTTAAAAACAGAAAATCAAAACGTTATCAAATATGGTGTTAGTTTATGTTACTGAACTGGCTTATCATGAATCCCAAGTTGAGCCCAAGTGATAACTTCCAATAACTCTTCCAAAGTCCCATAACCACCTGATGAATGAAAAACCAAACAAAAGTCGTGATCGGTGTAAAATCATCCGCCACATTATTTCGATATTTTCTGAGTTTTAGAGAGAGAGAATTAAGGAGGAGGAGAGAGAGACCTGGAAGAGCTATAAAACAATCAGAATGGCGGGCCATTTCTGCTTTCCTTTCGTGCATGTCGGCCACTGGCTTTACCTCCCCAACTGTTTCGCCAGTTAACTGTAAAAAACTAAAAACAATAAATTTCTAATCCCTCAAAGTTCCAAACTTCATAAGCCAAAAAACCAAACTCAGAATCCAGAAACCAAATTAAACCTCTTTGCTCATCAGGGTCCTCGGTATTATCCTGCAAAACCAATCCACTAAATCAAAAAGTTCGAAACGAAGAAACTAAAAACGAAATAGTTATCAAATTACCCGATGACTTCTCGTCCACCTCGATGAACAGCTTGAGAAACCAAACCCATGAGCCCAATGCTCCCACCACCATAAACAAGGTCCAATCTCCTTGCAACCTTCACACAAACACACAAATCAAAATCCCAAACAAAACCCACAAGAGAAAAACGAAACTTTATGAGAATTACCAGCTCATGAGCCAATTCAATGGCGGCATCTCTATAACAATCCCTCTTCCCAGTACTACTCCCACAGAAAACACAGACCCTCTTGAATCTAGACTTGGAGAGCTTAACGGCGTCGTTTTTGACCTCCATTATTCCTTCTTCTTCTGCCTCTTGTTCTTCAAAGTTGAAGTTTTTATATAATGGAACGGAGGGGCAGTGGCAAAAGAGAGAGACTGTGACTGTGACTGTGACAGTGACAATCCCCATGATTACACGTGTCGCGATGTGGTTAGAGGGGGAGAGAGATGTGTAGGGTGGGGTCAGTGAGGTTAGAGTCATCTTCTGAGGACGCCATTAATGCACGCAATCATAACTTTGGTGGGCTTAAACACGTGCAGAGGCCTCTCTCAATTTCTCTCTCTGCAAAATTAGGGTTTTTTTGATTTAGGGGATAGGGGATTAGGGCCAGCTTTTGGGGAGTATGGTCTAATCAAATGGAATTAGATCAAAAAGGTGACACAAGTGAATGAAGAGGCAACGAGAGCTAAATACTCAATCATACAATTAGAATTAGGGTTTCACAGTGTGACTTATTATTACTCCAATTCCCTTTCTTTTGTCCTTGGTTAAAGAGAAAAAAAAAAGAAGAAGAAGAAAAAACTTGATGAACATAAAAGGTAAAAGTAAAATTGCCATTTTAGTCCATATGGGTTATATCTTATTTCAGTGTCTGTGAAGTTTTGAAATGCTCCTTTTGTATTATCTTTGGTTTGATTTTAACAAAGGAATGACATGACATAGAATAAAATAGAATAGGATAGTGTATTAATATTATATCAATGTGGGTACCAACGTAAATCTAACTCAACGGTTAAGATATTTTACAGAGAAGCTGAGGTTCAATCTCACCCCATTCGTTGTATTGAAAAAATATATATAGTGTAAAGTTTAGAGATTAAAATGATTGCTTTTTAATAGATGGGGTGACTAATGGTGTTTTAAAAATTCATATGGTAAGTTGCTTTCTTATATGAATGTTTACTAATTTGGTTTTTGTTTTTTTTTTATTTTTGAAAATTAACCGCACTTTATTTCTTTGGTATTTACCTTTCTAAAAACATTTTAAGAATTTAAACAAATTTTGAAAAGTAGAAAAAACCTTGTTTTTATTATTGAAATTTGGATAAAAATTCGAATGTATCTAACAAGAAAGGTAAGAAACATATAAATAAATCATAGAGAAGTGCATTTTACAACTCCTGTTTAATTCATAACAAATTAGGAGCTCTAGAAGTTCGACGCTACATACCTATAACGTAAATTCACGTAACTTATACCAAATCGATTTTACTCGGTTTGCGGCTAAACTTAATTTGTGAGTCAAAATTACTGGTCATGAAACAACAAAACATTATAATCCTTACATCTTAGCCAAGAATATACAATAGAATAGAGAGAAATAAAGCCTAGGAAGAGGCATAGGCATAGGCATTGTTTTGGGTTTAGGGTGTGGGAGAAGAAACAGTTCAAGAGAGGCTTAGAAAGAAACAGCCTTTTTATTAGCCACACAGAAAAGCAATAATCTTGACACAAGAAAACTGGTTTTAATTTTCTCCAATTGCAGAGCCCAAAATGAAAAGGGAAAAGAAAACCCATTCACATTTCCAAATTGGCTTTAACAAGAAAACAGCTGATTTGGCAGAGATATTGAGCTTTTCCATGCAAAACAGACAGCCATGGAGAATGAAAGCAAAAATAAAAAGAAACCCTTTTTTATTTTTATTTTTAATGTTTTTTTGAAGAAGAAGACAAATTTTAAAGCAGTGGGGAGGAGGGGCATTTGTCTGCAAAATGTTACATCATCTCCTTCCTTTACAATCATTAGCTATGATTACTAGATATCACCTCTAGCTTTCTTCTGCTTTGAATTCTATATATGATAAGGGTAAAAATAATAATAAATTTTTAATATCCTATGCTTTCCATTTCTTTGCATTCTTCTATTAAATTTTGAAAAAAAAACTTGATGAGAGGAACCTCCTCTTCCATTCTATTAAATATTTTGAAACTCATTATTTTTCTTAATTCTTTTTTCTTTTTACATTTCTCCTGTTAACTTTAAAGAATCAAGTTTTTTCATTAAATTTTAGACTCACATAAGTGTTACAAATTTTAACATTACTACTTTGTCACTAGTTCTGATAGAAAGTAATGATAAAATTTTAATAATAATAATAATTGTTGATGCAGAAATTTGACATCCTGGGATTCTGCCAAATTCGCACAAATCTTCTAGAATATAAAATGGATCGACAAGACCTGCAAAACAGATAGCACTATATACCGGTGTGACTCTTGTCACACAGACTCCGATGGTTAAGTCAGAATCGGAAGAATCGGAGTAGTAGCCAAGAGTAGAGATTCTTTAAGTTTGACTTAGTTCCCTATTTATAGAAGTTGAATCCTGATCCTAATTCGAATCATGATACATGTAGGAAATCTGGTTATCTGAATCTAGGAACATCTTCTCCTGAATCAATGTCTATCTTCTCTTTTTAGAAATTTTTTATTTTTATAACCTTTCCAAAAATATCTATCAACATCGACGACATCTTATGGATATTTTTGTCGACATGTCTATGGTATTAAAATCTCGATATTTTGCCAAATGGAGCATAGTTCAACGGTAAATGTTATATATCTACAACTAAGTGGTTGTGAGTTCGATCATCCATCTCGCATGTTGTACTAAAAAAAATCTCAATATTTTAATCCACATTCACATTTAAAACTTTGAAACCCACCATTTTTTTTAAATACTTAGAGGAGCTTACTTGGCTTTCACTACCCACCAGTTATTTAATAAGTAGGAAAGGAAATGCATAAAAAGTGATTTTTTTTTTCTAATGCTTCTTTCTCAAAAGACAAAAAAATTGTACAAACATAATGCTGAAAAGACATCTATTTTATAATTCATTGAACCCCACATAAAATACTTTTAACAATTTTTCAAAAGAAAATAACATTTGCAACACTTTATTTCATATTAAGACAAGGATTACAATTCTTTTTGAAGTTCAAGGTAAATGAATTACAGCATCATCTATCTAAATTTAAGATGCAACTCAAATGAAATTAAAAGTTTGAAAGTAAAAATTGAACCTTTTTTTCTCAAATGAAAAAATCCCAACTTTTTTAGAGGGGTTTTTGGTTTGGTTGAGTGAAGAGTAAAATTTAGAGTCAAATCAGTGATTAGACGAAGCTGTGACACGACTGTGAGAGCGTTTACGTGTACCATGATTATTAACTTCTTGTAACCGGCCGGAGAAAAGCCGATGAAGTCGCCGGCGGTGAGCTTTCCGGCCAGAGAATTCACATCCAAATGGCGTACGTTGTTTTGAACTTTTGATGATAATGATGGCATTGGAAGCAGAAGCACTTAATATGAGCATTTAACGAAGCCCTTTTTTCCCTTCTTCCCCAGTACGGCCATTCACTGCATCTCTCCCATACTTCTTCTTCTTCTTCTTCTTCAATTCTTCCATGGTCCCAAATCGTGTATAGTAAAATGTACTTTTTTTTTTCCTTTCTGTATTTTTAGTTCAACCAAGGGCTGGGGTTCTATCTCCTTGGGAAGCTTTTTAAGTAGCATTTTGACCAGATGAGTTGTACTCGTGTCGGGATCGTATAGTAATATTTATACTTTTCACGTGATTTAAATTTTGTCGGGACCAAAAAATTATAAAACGTTTTTATAGCGTTAGTATTGTTTATCTATCCACTTTAAAATTTCGATTGGTTTTCTTCTAGTACATTTTACGTAATACTAAACCTTTATAGTTTTCACGTGGTTTCAATTTTGTCGGGACCAAAACATTATAAATTGTTTCTATAGCGTTAGCGTCATTTATCTTATCCACTTTAAAATTTCAATTGATTTTCTTCTAATATATTTTACGTAATACTAAATCATGATATAATTGGTTGACATATCGGCTCGTTGTAATGTAGTTAGAGAACTTGATAGGTAAGTACAAGAATGACGTGAGATTTAATCAACTTTGACCCAATTGAAATTATATGTAAAAGTATAGAGAACCGCATTTTCGCATTTTGTAATTTAACATAAAAATAAATATTACAATTTAAATTTGGATTTCTTTTTTTAAACAAAGGTAAGAATGGGGATTCAATCATAACATCTTTTAATAATGATAGGTGTTTTGTTCGTTGATTATGCATGAAGGATTCAAATGAGTTTTTATATTAATTAATTTTTTAAGAATTCCAATGTTTATTATTATTATTGCGCGAAAGGGAGTTGAAACTTTAAACCTGAAAAAATAGTTAAAGTGTATTGGTATGGTTAGGGGGAATTTGAAATGCTTTTTGTTTTCAATCTTTTAGAAATGTATATAGTTTTATGATAATTGTGTTTTTTTTCGTTACCATTTTTAAGAAATATTTTCGAAATTATGTAGAAATTTTAAAAACAAAAAATAAAATTTTTTATTTCTTGGCCATGTTTTCACTTTTTTTCCAAAACATATAAAAGATGTAATTTTATCTTTTTTTTTTACTTGTAAAAGACATAATAAACATTAGCATACAAATTTTGATATTAATTTGAAGATTAATTTTAATAAAAAATTTCATGTTTTCAATTTAAATTTTTAGAAAACAAGAAACATATTTCTATTTATTTTTTAATAAAAATAAAGAAAAAGACAATAAATAATTATCAAAACTTAATAATATATTTCTTGATTGGAAAAAACAAACAAAAATAACAAGAAACAAAAATGATACCAGTACATGCGTGTATTGTGTGTGACTGTCAACGTCAATAAATGAATAGATATTTTTATGGTTAAACAATGTTCATATTTAACAGTTCAACCCACCATCTTAAACCTTACCCTTTATTCTACTTTTAAAGAAATTAAAAAAAAGGTCATAAAATTTAAAATAAATTAAGAAAAAAGAAAAAAAAAAGAGAAAATGAATAGGGTGTAGTAGGATTTAGCCGTATGACTAGGCGGGGCTTCTTGTCGTTTGGTCACCATACAACCTTATCAACATTGGGAACGTTGATATTCAAAAAGTAATAATTTTATTTCCTTTCATAGATAAACAAATGTGAGTTTTTTTTTTTTTTTTAATATAACATTGATTCACGTGAAGGTTTAAGGTTTTAAGTGATATAATTATTAATTTAGAGTTTAAATTGATTTAATATTGAGTTTTTTTTCCTAATTTTTGTTAATTTAAAAATGAAATAGTCACGATATTTAAAATTTAGAACCTAATGGAATGTCCAAAATTTTTTTATCTATCCAAATCTAGATCAATTCCAACAAAAGACATTTCTATGCCAGATGTGTCCTGAACCAAATTTATGATGAACTAAAATTGAATTATAAACAAATGTTACATTATCAATTTGGTCTATCTGGATTGAGATTGGTTCCAATTTGGTAGTTTTAGATTACAATTTTCAATTTGTTACGGCATTACAAATTGTTCATGCAATAACCGACACATTTTCTATTTATATAAATGAGATGATGTTTTTTTATTTGACAATATAGTTTTATTTTTCCAAGTAAAAATTCTTATGTGAATTCTTACATGAATTCTCCGCACAAGCTCTCAACACTCATTAAGATTTTTCCATTTTCTCTACTGCCCATTTACTCCCATCCTAACTTTTAACTTAGATATCAAAGTACACTCAGCTGAACATCATACCAATATTAGATTTTTACGTATAGGTGAATTCTTGTTAGGAGTCAAAGACGTACGAATGGAGTCAAAGACGTACGTGACACTCTCATTATACTTACGTGATACCTACCTATAAATCGACATCAACAATTTAAGTAAGCAAATTTGATGATTTAAAATGACACTGATTAAGATGTATTAGTAATTTCAATTAAAAGTCAGAAGTTGGAACTTCAAATCCCACCACACAGCTGCTCACTTTTTGAGCTAAACATAAAATAAGCAAATCTTCCATTGAAATGATAATTCCTTACAAAGTTGAATTATTTTTTTTTTTTAAACAGCAAAGTTAAAATTATTAAAAGAATGGTATGCATATTTTTAGGAGAATGAATAATTTAATATAGTTGTCACAATGTTACTATCGCTTTATATGATAAGATGTATGGTAAAAAATATTTTATTGGTTAAGTATATGTAAAAGAAAGAAAGAAAAAGAAAACTCCTAGAAGATAATTTGGTTCTAGAAAAAGAAAAATATTTTGTTAAAAGATGAAAATAGATATATGATTCTATTCGATAATAACTTTAATCTTAGCATTACAAGAATTTGAATTTCTCCCGATGCTTAAAAACGTTGGGAAAAGATCCAAATAACGTTGGGAATGATTTTTCTTAAAAAATGTAACTTCTCCAAGCGTTTTTATATAAACGTTGGGGAAAGTGATCTTATTCCAACGTTTATATAAAAATGTGGTGCAGAGTTATCTTTTTCCAACGTCTCTATAAAAATGTCGAGAAAAGAACACTTCGTCCTACATTCCTACATAAACGTTGAGAATATTTAGCGTCAATTTTGATATGTTTCAATTTATTGATCTATATTTCCGACGTTTTACAAAACATCACCAAAGTTTATAATTCCGCGACGATTTTGTTTTCGTTAGAGCAAATAACTTCTCTCAACGACTTTTTTTAACGTTGGAAAAAATTCTATCGGAAATAAGGATAAGATTTTCACTAATTTTCAAAAGCTAAATTAAAGCCAAATTTAAGACCATCAGTACTATTATATACTCAAATTTTATAACTCTAATAAGTGATAAATTAATGCATTATCAAAACAAATTAAAAATTTACCTAAAAACTATGCATTAAATAATAAAACACTCAAAATCAAATCATAAAAATACTTAAAAATCCATGTAAGAAAATAATTAAAAAATTCAATACAACCTAAACATAACCAGAAGAACACTCTCGTCCAGCTATAATTTTTCAAAACAAAACTAAAATTTTGGGATTAAATTTAAATACAAAGGTGAGAGAAAAACTCACATTAAAAACAGTCAATACTTGGCCAACCAATTTTTTTGGCCGCATTATAATCATTATTGGTAGCAACTGAGAATTATAGCCGTTGGAAAAAAGGACTTCAACAGTCAATACGGTGCGTTTTACTCTCCTGACAACTCAATTAATTCATTGCTTCTATTATTGTTGCTACAGTCCAGATCCATTTGGTGGGAAAGCAAGCCCACTTTCAAAGAGAGAGAAAACACCAACCAATTGGAACCCAAGCCAAATAAAAATCATATCATTAATAATTCATAAACTTTATTATTTACTTAATAATAACTATTATACAAGGCCATTCATCTTTTATTTTCATTTTTCTTATATACCATATGGTATTATTAGATATTTAAATACCATAGTCCATGTATAAATATTTATCGTCTCTTCTTCCATTGTCCATCGCCACACTGCTCCGATGGACAACCTTCTTTGGCAATGTCATTAATTTGAACTCCAGTGTTGTAAATCAGTCCAATTCTCCAATCAGCAGGAAGCACATATTTTGCCCAAATCCACTTTCCATCGTATCCAGAAGTCACCACAAATCGCAGCTGCAATGGTCCTTTAGATAGAGGCTTTTTGGTATCCCACACAGCTCCATAATTCCTACTCATATAATCCCAATCCGACGATCCGACCTGCCATACATTACAAACGGTTAGAAAATTAAAAACGAAATTGTTATCAACCTAACAGATTGAAGTTCCAGTTCAAAATCAATTGACGATGAAAGGAGCAGCTCATGTCTATTATAAATCTTTGTATTCCAACTCAATGTGAATTGACGATTAGAGGAGCAGTTCATGTCTATTATTGGCTTACCTGAGCTATGTCGACGGCTACTATTTCTGTTTGGCCACCTTGATAGAGAAGCTTGATGGCTAAATAGTAGGGATATTGACTAAACTCTTCAACTCTAACCAACAAGTTTTTGTTCTGATATTCACAAGGAATCCTACAAAAACAGAGAACCCCACTAACAATTAATGGAAATGGATAAAATGGATGAACAAATCACTCTTTATTCTATAATGGTCAACATCAAAGTGGGTGGATTAAACTAATCAACCAAGGTAGGTCTAACAGAAAGAAATTAAAGAAACCAATCAATTCCACCTCTTAAATTCAACATCCACAACTCCATAACTCAGAAGCAATCCATCCTTCCCATCCACAGCCATTTCTGCAAAGCCCTTCTGGCTCAGAACAAAGCCTGTGTAAGTGTTGTCATTCCGATCCGTCACCACCACTTTGGTCCCTTCTCTCCTGCAAATTTTCTCGTTCTTGCACCTAATCTGCAGAGAAACAGAGCAATTTTCGATTCAGGGGAGAGGCGAAATTGGGGGAAAATGGAGATTTGAATTTTTGAAAGGTTGATTACTTGGAAGCAGGCGCCGCAGCCGGCGCCGGACTTGTAGAGGGGAGGCATGGCGGCGGAGTAGTAGCCGTTGGAGAGCTCCAATGTGAGGTCGCCATAGCCACAGGCGCCTCTATCTGCGAGAAATAAGAGAAACCCAATTGGTTAATGGTGGAAAATCGATGTGGGTCGGGCTCGGATTGGGCTGTAATGGGGGAAAAATGAAAGAATCGTACATGAACCGGCGGCTTCGTCCTGGTAGAAGGCGGCCTTGGCCTGATGAACGCAGCGGTCGCAGGCGGCGGCGGCGGAGATGAGAGAGAGGAAGAGAAGGGGGAGAGGAAAGAAAGGCATTTTGTTGAGAGGATTTGGAGTGAGGAAGAAGAAAGGGAATGGAGAGATATATATAGGTGCTCAAGGGGCGATGGTGGAAAACAGATGGACATTTCTCATAGCTTTGCGTCCACATCTACTTCGGATTCAAGTTTTGATGGATTTAGTTTGGTTCAATTTCAAGTTTGGGGTTTCGGGATTTTGGAGTTGTATTTAATTGATTCCACAACTTTTTTACATGGGTGTAAATGTTTAGGCTTTTGAAGTTTCAATTTCGAATATAATGAGTTTTTAAATGGGATAAAACTTCCTGACAAGATTCAAACGAAACTCCTCATGAATTTCTGTATGGTCTAATAACCTATAGACTAGTGGATCACATTCAGGAGGAGTTTCGTCTTGAATCTTTAGGAGGGAAGTTTTTTCCTTTTAAGTGGCCATTTGGTAAGGATACTCTTTCTTGTTTCTTGTCACTAATTTTATTAAGAAATTTAAACCTTTCACGACTATTTATGTTTGTTGTTTCTAATTTTTTAGAAATATTATTGAAATTATATAGAAATCTTGGAAACAACGAAAGACAAGATTCTGTTTGTTTGTTTCCATTTTCAATTAGTTTCAACATAAATAAAAATATTGTTTTATCATTTTTTTTAATTTATGGGTGTTGTGATCTTGCAATTCAATTTTTCTTTATTAGAAGGAGGAAACATAAACAAAAAACGAACCAAACAAATCCTAAACTTTTAATTATGTTTCTAATAGATCATCTGACTTAGTCAAACTCTTTCTTATTATAAAATTCACCACCCTATTAGATACAGAATGAAAATTTAATGTTCTATTAGACGCAAAATTCAAGTTTATGTCTAATAGATCGATTAATTTTAAAAAATGACCTATTATATATAAAATAAAAGTTGAAACATCTATTAAAACTAAAAATTTATGAAACACAAATCTTATAGTTAAAGTTGAAGAAGTAATAATTTAAACTTATTTATATATTTCACACAAGTTTTGTCTTTGTTTGAGAAAAGTATCCGAAGAAAAGAATTGGGAAGGTGGACCCAAAAAGGATGAGATTTGTGGGAGTGAGTTGGAATATGATAGTTGAGAATGAGAAGAAAAAGAGAGATGGATAATTAAAAACGCGGTAACAGAGAGTGGAGAGGAGACTATGGCTGGCGGCAGTGCCGCACGCACCCACCGACTCTTTTTGGCCCGCGCACTACAACCTGCTGCGTGGCAATATTAAATCGGTCGAATAACTTTTTTTAAATGCAATTTATGACCCGTTTGATAACCATTTATTATTTTTAGTTTTTGGTTGTTTGATAAGTTTTTAAACAGAGAAACGAGAGTGATCTGTTAGAAAATAAAATAAAGACACATCGAGATGAAAATTTTGGAGGGAAAAAATATTTAAAATTTAAAAATTCTAGTGAGAGAAAAATAAATTTGGGTAATTGTATTGGGTAGCAAAAACATTTTATGTATTTCAAAAAATGTCACCAACTTTTCAAAATTTCAAATATAGCAAAATATTTGAATTTTTATTTTCGGAATTTTTATTATTCTAATTTTACCCTTATGATATTTGATATATATCTGATATACATCCAATTTATATCTGATATACATGTATATCATACATCAAATCTATATCTGATATATATTTGATGTAAATTTGTATATGATATACATCCAATCTATATCTAATGTACATTCGATGTAACTCTGATATACTTCCGATATACATTCAATGTACTCCTAATATACAGTATCAGATGTACCATGATATACATTATCATATATACCACTGATATACATCAAATGTACGTATATATATCTGATGTGCTTCTAATTTATGATATACTAAATATATTTGCAACTGATCAAATGTTTAATTTTTAGTAGTATATCAGCTGTTTAAATTCTAGTTTATCATTTCAATTTGTTGATTAATGTTGATTACTATATCACTACTATTTATTCAATATTAATATTAATTAGATACTAAATATAAGGGATATCTAACTGTTTAAATTTATAAAGTATATCAAAATTTTAACTCTTTTTTTGGATGTGCATGGTCCACATTAACCTTTTATATAATAACTTTATATTTCAAAATAAAAAATAAAAAATTTTGCATCATTATTTTCATCTGAAAAATATATTAGATATAATAGTACGATATCATCACACATATATCATAGTTATATTAGTAGATATAATGGTTATATCAGAGGTATATAAGTGGTAAATTCTGTATATTAAGTATATATTAAATATATATCAGTGTTATATTAGTGATAAATCATATAATCATATAAGAAGTTATATTAGTAGATACCATAGTTATAGCAGTGGTATATCATTTGTATATCAATAGTAAGTTACAGACATATCAAATATATATCACATATATATGTGTGGTAAATCAATGGTTATCATACGTATATCAGTGGTAAGATATGTTAGAAGTTGAGTAGATATCATGATTATACTAGAAGTAAATCAATTATATATCATTATTATATTAGTGGTATATCAAAGATATATATCAATGGTCAGATATGTTACAGATATATATCAAATATATTAAAGGATGAATTTGTAATTTTATAATTGGACCTCCGTCTTTTCAGAAAAAAAATACTATATTTGAAAAAAATTAAATGTGATTGCTATTTTGCTTATTTTACTAAAATTTTTTGTCATATTTACAAGAGTCCCAATAAATTTTGCAGGGTGAAAAAGAATTTTGTTAGAAATAAATATGAGAAAGAAAAGAAAAAGTCGAGTGTTAGAAGAAAAAACTAGATTTTGAAAAACTGTTTTTGAAATTTTTTTAATTTATATAGGATTTCAAAAATGCTTTTTGAAAAACTAAAAACAAAAAATTGAATTACCATATTTTTAAAAGATTAAAAATAAAAAACTAAAATCAGAAAACCTTATCAAATGAATCCTTAGTTTCTAAACTTTAATTTTGTTACGATTACAATTTAGTCTATATAGTTAAAAAAATTTGTACGAATTTAATTATTGATGTGGAAAATCGCATCAAAGTTAAGTGACAATTTTTATAACGATTTAATTTTTGTAGTTTAGTTTATAATACTAACTCTATTAAATCTTAAAAGTATTTTCAAAATTATTATGCACCAATTTATAAATGTGAAAGTACAGTGACTCTTAAAATTAAGAGAAGTATAGATATTAGAATGGTTTGTTTTCCTTTTGGAGTGAGTGGACTAATTGAAAACAAGTGGAAAACTAGAGCCCTTTTGTGGGGGAATGACGATGCACCAATATGTAAATTGTAAATAATTATTCTATTGATTTTGGAACGCAAGTGTGGATTTTTTTTTTCTTTTTTTGATTTTTTTAGTGGAATTTGAAGGTGGGTAGTATCAGATAAGTTTTGTTTCTGTTGGAGTGATGAATGATAATTATTAAAAGAGAGAGAAGTGAAATATAAGTAAAAGAAAAATTAGGTGAGAGATTTATATATCGTGTTCAAAGAGCTTTTTCCTTTTTAATTTTTTCATAACTCGAGCTGTAAATTATCGAACATAATTGGCATGGATAAGGCACTCTTATTATTTCATAGGTCGATGATTTTGATACCATAGTTGGAAGTAACAGAAGAAGGAACATTTGGTTGCTTATTGTAGGTTAGAATCGATCTAGTAGTCACTCTTATGCAGAGTAGTACTAAAGAATAATTGTGAAGAGGAGAATTTCTATTGCACTTGCACTTCAAAAGCAAAGTTGCACAACGATGATCCCATATCAAAAAAATCAAAAGTCCTAAAGGTTTACAAGATACCTGAACTACTCCTCTAAATTGGTTTTGAGATGTAACTCCATAAGTATGGAAAATAAGGTTTCGAGTGGTGATGACCACGGTCAATTTACTCGGGGTCTACTGAAAAGCCACCCCTAGACATGATAGCCTGTTTAACAAAGACTTTATGATTGATCATATTTAATGATTAAGTTTAATCTTAATTATTGTCCTCTTAAAATACACATTTTATTAACTTTGTGTGGCTTTAGTTTGAAAAAACATGAGTTGCCATTTTATTGTCTCATCTTAATTTTATCTTTAAACGACATACAAAGTTACAATACTTTCCTTGAAATATAATGAATTTTGAATTGGTCCTTTGAAGTATAAATTTCCCTTTTCCAGAGTTAGCTTAAAGAATGGTTTGATATACTTCAAAAAGTTAAAGAGGTCTTCTTAAAATTTTTAATATATCCATGAATATAAATTTAAATTAGTATACCATTTAATCCAATTAAATTTTAAATATGAATTTAATTAAAGCAAATTTATTGTTAACTTAAAACAAATTACTACACGAACTATTTTACAAATATAGTTAATAAAATATCTCAAAATGATCGAAAATGATACATAATAATAATTATGAAAACATGTTAACGACTCTAATGACATATTAATGAAAACCCAGACATGTCTTGTCCGGGAAATAATACAACAATAGAGGCCCAAAAAGTATGAGTCTGGGGTGAGTTTTGTTAACTTGGAATGCATCTCGGACGAGGTTTGACAATATAGAATTCTAGTCATCGACCGAAATTTCAAAATATTTCATAATTTTATTTAAACACCAGAGAATTCTAGTGAATTCTTTATTATTATTACATGGATGAGAGTATTTTTTCCTCATCCACTAGATTACAACATATCTTTCCATTACACATTGATCATATTATGGAATCAAAACCAGCCTTTTATGGGAAGCTTCTTCATTAACAATCATTTCCATTGCCCATCACCACATTGCCATGGAGGGCAACTCTCTTTGGCAATATCAGTGATTTGAACTCCAGTGTCATAAATGGCTCCACTTTTCCAATCAGCAGGAAGCACAGATTTTGCCCAAACCCACTTCCCATCGTATCCTGAAGTCACCACCATCCTTAACTGAAGTGCTCCTTCTGGTATGTTGTTGGTGTCCCATACAGCTCCATAGTTTCTCTTCATGTGGCTCCAATCAGAGGTGCCCACTTGAGCTATGTCCACAGCTACTATGTCTGTTTGGCCTCCTTGGTACAAGAATTTTATTGCTAGGTAGAATGGGTTGTAGCTTGATTCTTCCACTCGCACTACCAAGTTCTTGTATTTGTACTCACAAGGCACCCTGCAAAAAAGCATTGGTCTCGTTTTTCCTATCACAAACTTCAACGTAACACGACACTTGCACTCAATATATTTCTCTTGAAATGTTGTAACTATGACTTTATGTTAAAGGGTTCTCGTTAGGTGTAGAATTTGAGTTAAAATTTTTACAAATAAGAATCAAAATGGTTACGTTTTGAGAGTATAAGGACCAAAATTTGTTGGATTTATAAGGAGTGCAAACAAAGTTCTACGTTCAGTGATTCATGGTATATAAGAGAGGCAATTATCTCCTTGAGATATTTTGGGTGAAACAAAAAACAAAGCCGAGGATTATGTCCAAAACGGACAATATCATATCATTATGGAGATACTTGGAGTACGAAGGGTATCGTTGTCCTTAACAAAACGAACATTTTTAAAGTATATGAACTAAAATGAACCAAAATTAAAAGTACATAGATCAAAATGAACATTTTGAAAGCATATAGAGACCCAAATGAATCGAAATCGAAGGAGTATGGACCAAAATAGTAATTTAAATATTTATATTTATAGGCTAGGCCTACCTCTTGTATTCAACATCAATAACTCCAAGATTCAATAGGTCTGCACCCTTGCCATTGAGAGCCATGGTAAAGAAAGCCCTTTTACTAAGAACAAGATCAGTTACATTATCATTATTTTGATCTGTCAACACCACTTTAGTTCCAACTGTGTTGCACATTCTTCTATTTTTGCACCTTACCTATAAGAAATAGTGAAATATACTGCTGATTAACAACTCCTCATCATAAAAAATCTCCTAAAAAAGAACTAAATAGAAAATAAAAATAAATTAAACATATATACTTGATAGCAAGCACCACAACCAGCTCCTTGTTTATAAAGGGAAGGCACAGCAGCAGCATAAAAGCCATTAGAGAACTCTAATGCCAAGTTGCCATAACCACATGCTCCCCCATCTGTTTCAAATGGATAGAACAAGAGCCACATTATGACAATCTTTCACGAGTATCAATATCGTTACGTGAATCGTAAATGCATGAATATGATGTACCAAAAAATTTCCCAAACTTTGCTTAACGAGACATATAGTATTCTAATTAAAAGATTAGAGAGAGAGTGAAATAAGAGAAATTTTTACATGTAGTAGGTGAATCATAAAGGTGGCTAGCTTTAGATTGAAAAACACAACGATCACAAGCATTAGCTGAAGAGATGAAGAAGAGAAAGAGAAGGCTGAGAAACCAAGCCATTTTGATAAGGAAATTGATGGATGATTTGTGTGATGAGTGTGAGGAAGAAGGAAGGAGGATGATTGTGCTTATATACTCACTTAAAAAAGTGAATAACAATTGGGGATTGCCTAATTAAAGACAAATGAGACTTGGTTTTTGGTGTACATGGGTTTTGAAGTGCTGATTTGAAAATTGGATGAGAAGGAAAGAAAGATGAACCATTGATTAGACTACGTGAGAAAATAAGAGCAGAAAAAAGTCCAAATGGAAGTCTCTGCCTAATCAATTTTGTTTGAACTTTGAAGTAAGAATCCGTCTTCTTGAGTCAGCGGATTTAGTAAAGCTATGCTATTTAATATACATCTCTTCTTAGATTAAATTAATATTGATTTAATCCTACCATCGATAGGTGGTGGTATAGTGGATTTATAGTCGAATGGAGTTTTTCTCTCAAATTTGAGTTTCGAGGGCGTGTAGTTGGGGTTTCCCCTATTTAGGGACAAAATTCCACAACATTAGTTACAGTATTATTGGATGATCATCGACACCTCTCGAAATTTAATTGGCAGAGCCACACGACATCGATTTCAAATTATCAAGAAAATATTGATTTAATTTGGTCCAACAAAGTGTACAATTAAGAAAAAGAGACATGTAGTATCATTCTACAAATTTCTTTTATATTTGTCACTGTCCCCACTTTATTTTTCAATAAATTTGCTTTCTTTATTTATTTTCGATTTCAACATTTTCTTTTTCTTTTGACAAATAGTTTAATAAGAGTAAGAGATAGAAACTATAAATTTTTGGGACAATTTTTGTTCCTTCATACGAGATGAGTTAACGAAGATGTTATAATTTACTTCTCCAACCTTCTATTACTTTTTATTTTGCTATATTTATGTAATAAACTTGTAATATCATAAAAATTTATACTTAGAATTATAATCAAAATCCTGAAACGATACTTAAAAACTTTTTAAAATTTAAAGACCATATTGCAATTTGCAAACATGCCACACTCAAATCTTATCTTAAAGTTAACAAAAAAAAAGAAAAAAAAATCTGGTCTCTTTTCGGCTATTTAATATAGTTTTTGACAAAAACAAAAAAGCAATGTGAAAGAAATAATATAATATTTGATATTATGTTTGTTAGCTGTCATAGCCGTAGTTTGACAACACCATGGTCGATGAGTTGTCTGTTTTCTGTTTATTTTATTTTATTTTTCATATTTTTGGTCTAAAATCATATTCTTCTTACTTTATTTAATTTTTGGGTTTTAATATTAAATAGTGATTCACTACGTATCCAACATACTTAACATAAAATATTATAAATATAGAAAAGAAATTAAGGGAAAAAAGATCAATTTTAACTTTGAATTTGCAACTTTCCATCTAAACCTTACATTTTCAATTTCAACTCAGGTTAGCAATGTTTATCTTCTGAAGATTTTTTTTTCTCATATAATGCTTTTTGAGCCGATTTTTTTGTTGGTTGAAATTTGTAAGTTTTGACGAAGTTAGTTAGTGATCGATTTTCTGTATTATACAAACTTAATAATTTTGTGCAAAATTTGATTTTGATCAAATAATTAATGATTTTTTTGGCAGTATTTTACATTAATTTTTGTTAAAGTTAGCGAGTGAAATTTAGTAGAGAATAAAAATTGGAAGGTTTATCTAAAGTTTATGGTTCAAATTTAGTGAAAATTGATTCAAAGTTGTTAAGTTCAGGATAAAAAATAAAAATTTAAAAAAATATATACACGCCAATTAATAATGACCAGTTTATGGTTAATAAAAAATTCAATAATTGTTGTAATTGTAGTCAATCCATGTATTATACTATTCTAGAAAAAAATTGGTAAACTAACAATAATTAATATATTTTTCTAAAAAAATAATTAATATATAAAAACAGAAAATCGTGATTAATGAATCTTTTAAAAATCCATATATGGGTAAACTAACAATAATTATTATTTTTTTTTAAAAAGCTACCCACTTAATTAAATTTTCATAAAATTTATAATTTTGGAGTAAAATTGAGGTTCTCTTGAATGGTACACACTTTGGGAGCAATCATGAACTAGTATTTACTACGAAAAACTTAAGAATAATGAATCTACTGCCAAAAACTTAAAATGTATATATTCCTTAATAATTTCATTTTCAATTTTTCAATCATCTATCTTATATTATATTAAACTAATATTTCTATGTTCTGTGCAGGATGGGTCATAAGATCGAATAGTTAGAAGATGTTACTTATTACATATGTTTAATATGCGTATGATGAATTTTCATCATCTTGAATGTTAAGGATCTATATAGATTACTTCTCTCATTGTCAATTAGTTTTGAGATAGAATCCATGAATATTAATATGGTATCAGAGAGTCTAAAAATTCAAACGAGCATCCGGTCCAAAAATGAGATTCGGTCAAGATCGCTGAGTCAAAAGAGCCACGACCTCAAGGGCTACTCTTTTCATTGCCAATTGATTTTGAAATGGATTCCCATGAATATTGGTATTGAACATAATTTATTAACTGGTCAAAATATATATTATCAACAGAAAATTCGAAGTGTAAATAAAAAATTACCATCATTTTACACTAAGAAATATGATTATTAGCGACAAACTTTACCCGACCAAATTGTTACTAAAAAACAATAATATTAAGGTACAAAAAGCAATAATCATCCTCAATAATAAGCTATATCACACCATAAGGTTGTTGAGATCCATTCACGCACACATAAAATATGTATACATACATACGTAGTTCATTAATATTTATTTGATAATAGAACTCAGAATTTTTTATCAAAATTCTAAGTATAAATTTGTGAAGTTTGTTCATTTCCATGGTTCTTCACCGCAGCGCCAAGGATTGCAATACTCTCCAGCAATATCCTTGATCTTAATTCCAGTATCGTAAATCTCTCCATTTTTCCAATCAGCAGGAAGTGCATAACTTGCCATAATTCCCCTCCCATTTCTATATCCCGAAGCTACAATCACCACTAGCTTTATTGCTCCTTCGGGAACTTCATTGGTGTCCCAAATAGGTCCATAGTTTCTTTTCATGTAATGCCAATCTTGAGAATCAGCCTACCAAATTCATCCAAAATGCATTAATATGAAAATTGCATGCATATATTTAACTCAATATCTAGAATTAATAATGTTTAGCTAATTACCTGAGCTATGTCGACTGCTAATATGTCTGTTTGGCCCCCTTGGTATAGGAATTTAATGGCCAAATAATATGGTTTGTGGCTCCATTCCACCACTTGTACTAATAAATTTTTATTGTATTCACAAGGTATCCTGCAAGAAACTAAAACAAATGAGCCAATTTTCATGGCTAAGAGTTAAAAGATCCCACCTTCAAAACACATTCAAAACATAGGGGACTTAACAAAAGTTTATTTATTTATTTATTTTTTGAGAAAGCTTAACAGAAGTTTATAATATATGTTCCATTGCCAATTGGTCTTGAGATAGAACCCGTGAATATTAATATGGTATCAGAGTCCAAAACGTTTTAACGAGCATCCGGTCCAAGACTAAGATCCGGCCAATATTAAAAAGTGAATATTGATAAAATATCAAGCAGTAGAAATATGGTTCACCTCTTGTATTCTATGTCAACAATTCCAGATTTCAGAAGTTCTTGGCCTTTGCCATCTAAAGCCATTGCAGAGAAAGCTTTTCTACTGAGAACAAAATCTGTTCTATTGTCGTAGTTTTGATCTGTCAAAACTACTTTGGTCCCTGTTGTGTTGCACAATGTTTCATTCTTACATCTTACCTGAAAAAACAATAGATTTATAGACAATAAAAACCTTTTGAGAGAAAAAAGAAAAATAAAGCTGCAAAATACACACAAATTTCGAAGAGGAAGGAAAATAAGGTCCGTCTGGTAACGTTTTCGTTTCCAATTTTATCAAGAAATCTAAGTATTCAATAACTATTTATGTTTTCTATTACTTATTTTTTAAAAATATTCTCAAGAAAATTTGGAAACAACAAAATCATGTTTTTTTTTCTATCCCCAATGGATTGTTTGGGTAGCTTGAGGTCTCAAAAAATATCCTTGAAATTTTGGATTTAAGCCACATGGAATGCAACTCCAATCAAATAATGATCTCTTGCGTATATACCGGTATGGGGACACTGGTATGGGGACAGTACATATATTCCCCAAGTATAGGAGCATAAAGGCAAAACAGCCGTGGACTCTAGGTAATAAAAAAAAGTTTTTAAAACGAGAACATTACTAAACGAGTCTTAAATATATACCTGATAACAAGCACCACACCCAATTCCTTGTCTGTAGAGAGATGGCACAGCTGCTGCAAAATAGCCTTGGGATAATTCCAAGGCAAAGTTTCCATACCCACATGCACCTCCATCTGTATATCAACTCAATAAAACCCAATAAACATATAGATAGCATTTATCTTTGGATGAGAATTTTATAATATTTATGGTTCATTCTACTCTTGATTATAACCAATTCAAAAAGAAAGCTAAGGGAAAGTAAGTAAAAGACAATTTTGTACATGAAGTTGGTGCATCCCCATAGTAATGAGTAGCCTTGGATTGAGAAATACAACGATCACAAGCATGAGCTGAAGAGATGAGAATGAAGAGAAGAAGACTAAAAAGCGAAGCCATTATTCTTTTTGTAAGAAAGAATCAAGAAGAGCAATTCTTATATAGATTCTTCAAATATTAGAAATAAGAGTATCAGTGGATAACAACTAATGGGTCAAAGAAGCCAAATTGGATTTGAATTTATAATAATATTTGGTGGGCAGGATTTGAATTTGAAGAGAATAAAAAAAGATGGGTGAGTAATCAAATCCCATTAGAAAAATATACCAACATATAATATAATTGAATATATATATGATGCTTATGTTATATATTTATCATGCATGATACATTATTATCAGAGATCAAATTAATTCTTAAAAGTAAAATATATTCTTAATTTTTGATTTTTTTAATATTATTAATTAAACTACCTATAAAAAATTATACAACTTTATTAACAAAAGGCTCTCCATTTTATTATCTTTATTCCATGCCCATCGAAAACAGAGAGATCCCATTGGTTTAGAAACATTGTCCAAACATGGAAATGGGTTTTGAAATTCTAGAAAGAAGTATTATATTTGGTATAGGTTGGAATGAAATAATTGATAAGCTTGAGAATATATCTTTTAGAAAGCTAGAGTAAAGCAAAGAGTACTCCAGTTTAATGCAGCAGTAACTATATCATAATTATAAAAGTTAGCCGATTTCGATGACTAGATCGTGGCAGAAGCAATTCTGATATCTTCCAAAAATTTTGAGATAGTCAAATTAGATGAATCTTGAAATATGCGACTATTACACTTCTAAGTAGAAGGTGTGCCACAGTAAACCGATATAGACTTGAGAATGTGATGTGTCGAGTATAATAATATAATGAGATAGTTGTAAATATGTCAAAAATATTTAGTAAAATTAGTAAAAAAAATCACGATTAGTTTTTTCAAATATGGTACTGATCCAATTCTAAAATGACAATTTTACTCAAATAATATATATATCTAATATATCTGTAATATATCTAATTACTGATATATTTATGTGATATACATCTGATATACTACTGATAAGAGTGTCTGATATATTTGCAATATGTCTATGATGATTTTTTTTATTTCAATATATCTGTGATGATATGAGTGTCTATGCAATATGTATGTGATATACATTTAATATACTACTGATATGAGTGTCTGATATAGTACTGATATAAGTGAAAATTTTTGCTATACTTGAAAATTTAAAAAATAGGTGATATATTTTAAAGATTTTTGTTATCTAGTGGAATTTTCCTAATATAATAGGATTGGCTTTGTAATTAATATATCATTCTCCTATTAAATTTAAATGGGGTTTTTTTTTTGGTGTAAATTTCCAAATATGGACATGGGCATAAGACCAAGGGAAATTACTTTTAAGATGTGCATTTTTCTTTTTTCTTTCATACTCATTGATAGTTGGAATACTTCTTAGATTAATCACTTGCAATGTCAAGAGAAAATAATTGGATTTTAAATAACTATTAATGTTAAAATTTCCATTAGATTTTTTTTTATCACAACAAATGTGCTATGAAAATTAAACCTTCGAGAACGAGTAAGATGTCTTAATTGCTAAGCTACGTTCATGTTGATAATTTAATAATGCTATTTTTCAGGAATCTCAAATAACAAACACCGATCTATATTTAAAATATTTCATTATTATTTAACTAATAGAATTCTATTGAATTCTTTATTGTACAGATCACAGATGAGTAATTTTTCTCATCATCTTTTTCTTAATATTCTTTATGTAAAGAAACTTTGATGATTTTTTCCTCATTTCCATTGCTCATCACCACATTGCCACGGAGGACAACTCTCTTTAGCAATATCATTAATTTGAACTCCAGTGTTGTAGATCACCCCAGCTTTCCAATCAGCAGGAAGCACAGATTTTGCCCAAACCCATTTTCCATCATATCCTGAAGATACCACCATTCTCAGCTGCAGTGCACCTTCAGGTACATTATCTGTGTCCCAAACAGCTCCATAACTTCTCTTCATATGGCTCCAATCAGAGGTACCAATTGGAGCTATGTCAACAGCTACTATATCTGTTTGGCCACCTTGATACAGAAATTTTATTGCCAACTTGAATGGATTATAGCTTGATTCTTCTACTCGCATATTCACAAGGTACCCTGCATAAAGTAGAAACTTTTTGTTTCATTTCATATATACATAGTGTGTTGGGGTTGCAAGGAATGCAAACAAAATCGAACGGTGGAATTATAGATGATGACAAAAGTAAAGCCGTGAGTAGAGTTATGTTCAAAATGAACAATATCATACCATTGTGGAGATAACGAGARTACGTAGGATACCGTTCTGAACAAAATATCTAAAACTCACTTCTTGTATTCGACGTCGACAACTCCAAGGTTTAAAAGATCTGCACCTCTACCATTGAGAGCCATGGTAAAGAAAGCTCTTTTGCTAAGAATAAGATCAGTTACGTTGTCGTTATTTTGATCTGTCAGTACCACTTTGGTACCTGCTCTATTGCAGAACCTTCTATTTTTGCACCTTACCTACAAAAATAGTTAGTATATTGTTTACCAACTTTTTGTCAACAAAAGAATAAAAGAGTTTGTAATATAAGTGGATATTTCTCTCAAAGATCGAAAGCTAATAAACATTCAATCCAAAAATAGGATCTAGCCAAGATTAGTAAATCCAAAAGAGGTACCATCTCGAGAGACATCTTAAAGATCCCACATTAAAAAGATAAAGACCTAACAATAGTTTATAATATAAGTGGACTACTCCTTATATACATAAAAATAGATCCTAACAAAAAAAAATTAAGTTTTTATATACTTGGTAGCAGGCACCACATCCAGCTCCTTGTTTATAAAGGGAAGGCACAGCAGCTGCAAAAAATCCATTGGATAACTCCAATGCTAGGTTGCCATAACCACATGCTCCCCCATCTGTGTGATCAAATAGTAGAAAAATCATTATGCATGACAGTCTTAGCTGATAGCAACAATGACCCAAAAAGTAAAAAAAGAAAGAGAAACAAGAACAAGAACAAGATCTTTTACATGTAGTAGGTGATTCATAAAGATGACTAGCTTTAGATTGATAAACACAACGATCACAGGCAGTAGCAGAAGAGATAAAAAAGAGAAAGAGAAGGCCGAGAAACCAAGCCATTTTGGTAAGGAAAGGAAATTGGTGGATGATTGTGTATTGAGTGTGCGAGGAAGAAGAAGGATGATGATGCTTATATAGGTGACTCAAGAGTGGAAAACAAATGGGGATTGCCTAATTAAAGACAAATTAATGAGACTTGGTTTTTTAAAGTGTTGAATTCGAAATTAGGATGAGAATAAAGGAAAGAAAAATGAGCCATTGATTAGACTGTGAGAGAGAAAGAAAAGAGCAAAAATCAGTCCAAATGGAAGTTTTCGCCTAATCAGCTTAATTTCTTTGAACTTTGAAGTAAAAATCCGTCTTCTTTGAGTCAGCGGATTGAGTAAATCTCAGCTACGGCTAGTTGATTCGAACCTCACATTTGAAACCAAAAAAAAAAAGAAAAAAAATACAAAATTATATACATTTCTTATTCCTAAATTTCAATTTTTTTTTTACAATCTTCACTTTTTTGAATTAGAGATTCTAGGTTTTCTTATGATATTTTGAAAATACCCTGTTTGCTCTCGAGATCCAAATTTTTTAATGATGGTTGATTGTATTCAATGATCTTTGCAAATTTTTATTGATATGAAGAGAGTATCTAAAACTTTCCATAGATCTTTAAGTAGATAAGTTTGAGTTTTGACGACTAAACAACCTTATCGAATTTCATTTGAGTTTATATGTAATGACGAAGATTTAGAAAAAAAAAAATTATATATAAAAAGAAAAAAAATAGGTGAAAGAAAATAAAGACAATATAATAATAATACCATGTTCACTATGGGAGCCGTGGTTTGAGTTTGACAGCAGTCGATGCCTGTGGTCTATGACCTTTTATTTTTCTTTTTAAATCTTAGTATTCTTATTTTATTTATTTTTTGGGTTTAATAGTAAGATTTAGTGAAAGTTTTTTTATTTTGTTTTTTAAACTTATGTACTTAGTTGAGTGACAAAATTTATCTTTATAGTTTTAATTTCATTCATTTGAACTATGTACTTAAAATAAAATTAAGAGGCAAAATTAATATATCCTTGGTTAAAGTTTCCATTATTTGTAAGATTTGTGGGGTTTTGCATATGTAGCTGAAAATTACTATTTTATAAATTACCAACCACTTAAATGTTGTGAGTTTGGATCTTCACTCCCATTGTCGTATTATAACTAAAGTTATGTGATACTTTTTTTAATTGAGTTCGGACGTTTTAGTGTTGATTTTAGATGTTTAATTTTTTTTAGGTTGCGATTTATTGGATGGTTCACGAATAATCTTTTTTAGTTTAATTTGGAAAGATGAATTAATTTCATCATTTATTTATGTGTTAATTAATAGTATTCAAATTTAATGGAATTGAAAGTGTAAACTTGATTTGCTGGACTACAGAAAAACGGATTTTTCTCAAACTTAAAAAATTTTGGTAGGGGAAAGTAAGGATCGTCCTTTTTTATTTTCTTTCTTTCTTTTCCCGAAAAGGAAGGTTGTCTTCACAATCATTAAAAGGTTAGGATCTTGCTTGTTAAATATGGAGGATGAAGAAAAAAGGGCTTAAAAATTAATAATTTAAWCAGGGAATAAGAGCTATTTTGTGATTTTGATCCAAATAAGACAAATTTATTAAAACCTATGATATTATTATTATTAGCCAACTAGAACTTAGTCTATGATTTATGAGTTGGACTGGACTTCCATGTGTTTGTCTTTCTGAATTAGGAGCGCTTGAAATTTCTTTCCAACTTTCTCTTATGAGAGATAGGCGCTATACGGCCATTTCTCTTTAGACAAATGACTGTCCCATTCCATTGCTGGAAAATCCAGAGTTGGATTCAGCCGCGTGGTGAATGAAACAACATTCATTGAGTGAGTTGACGCTAAACCTCCTGCTCTTTTAGATGGTAAGAGCTGTCTACATTACTGGATTAACTAGAATTAATAGTAATCGAAACTAGGACCAGGTTAAAGCATATATATCTAACTATGAGGTTGAGAGTTTATATTATCGAGTGCAATATCTTGGGTTCGATGTTTGACCTACATGTGTGATATTTTGTGTGAAACCAAAGGTAAATACTAATTTCGAAGGGAATAATATTATATTATTTATTTAATAGTAGAATTCTATTGAATTCTTATGAACACTGATATAAAAATAAAAAGGAATACACACAACTTTGAAACAAACATTGTAACTTAATTATCTATATATTTTTGCTTCATTTCCATTGAGCATCACCACATTGCCAAGGAGGGCAATTCTCAATTGCAATATCTTTGATTTTAATTCCAGTGTCATAAATCTCTCCATTTTTCCAATCAGCAGGGAGCACATAACTTGCCCAAATCCACTTTCCATTGTCGTATCTTGAGGTTACCACCATTCTCAGCTGTAAAGCTCCTTCAGGCACATTATTGGTATCCCAAATTGCTCCATAATTTCTTTTCATAGGCCGCCATTTTGGAACACCAACCTACCAAAATAATTCAATATATGCACATATAATAATGTTAGCATGTTTTTATGATCTGATATTGAGTTTATATAATATAGTTTTTGGCTAACCTGAGCTACGTTAACTGCTTGTATGTCTGTTTGGCCACCTTGATATAGGAATTTGATGGCTAAGTAGTATGGCTTGTGGCTCCATTCTACCACTTGCACCAACAAATTTTTATTTTTGTAATCACATGGTATCCTGAGAGACGTGAAAACAGTCGTTCAATGTGAGGGAAGGGGATTTAAATCTCCGACTTTATATTAGAGTAAATAATATATTTGATATTGCTTTGTTAAAGATTCCAGGGACCTAACGAAGGTTTATAATAGACATGTGGTACTCCTTTTATACCAATTAATTTTGAGATGAAACCCTTGAACATTAATGTAATATCAGAGTCCAAAAGAGCATCCGATCTAAAAATAGGATCCGGTTAAGATTGGTGGACCCAAAAGAGGCACCATCTTGAAGAGCATGGTAAGGATACTACATTGAAAAGATAAAGAAGCTAACAAAGATTTATAATAGACATGAGTTATTCTTTTCATAGTTAATTCATTTAGGAGATGAAATCCCCTTAATATTATTACAGTTGAATTATGCTCGTATGACTTACCTCTTGTATTCGATATCGACGAGTCCAGAATTCAAAAGTTGTTGGCCCTTTCCTTTCAAAGCCATTGCGGAGAAAGCTTTTCTACTAAGAACAAGATCTGTTCTATTGTCATTATTCTGATCTGTCACAACTATTTTAGCTCCTGCTGTGTTGCACAGACGTTTGTCCTTGCATCTTACCTGCCAAAATAATTCACTTGCAATCTCAGTAATGTGTATTAAGAAGAAAAATTAAAGTCACTCAAACAAAAGCAAATTGTATTATAAATATTTACCTGATAGCAAGCACCACAAGCTGCTCCTTGTTTATAAAGGGAAGGCACAGCAGCTGCAAAATGGCCTTGGGACATTTCCAATGCCACATTTCCATAACCACAAGCGCCTCCATCTATATCAACTCAACCACATTTAATAAAATTTATCATTACCGTTAATCAGCTTTTTATGATATTAACGAAAACAGGTATGGATATTCCTAAGTATCTCTACAATAATATGGTATTGTCCGTTTTATTATGCTTTTGGTTTCATTTAAAGGGTCTCATGAGATAATTGTCATCATCTATATATAGTAGATCACTCTCTTTCTAACTAATGTACGACTTTGTTTGCAAAACTTGCCACCCCGTCTCCGCTCCATCTCCACCGGAGACCCCGATTAGGATTTTTGGTTTGACCTCGTCTCCAGTCAAACTGGAAATTTCCCGACCCGATTAGGTCGGGTACCTGCAGGGATTGAGTCCTGCGGGATTTTTTGCGATCCCAAACCCCAACAATACATATCATCTAAAAGTACTTATTAAAGAATCCAAAAAGAAAAATAAAACAAAAAAAATAAAAAAAACCAAATCTTTACATGTAGTAGGCGCATCTTCATAGTAATGAGTAGCTTTGGATTGATGAACACAGCGATTGCAGGGAGGAAAAGAAGCGGTAGTAGAAGAGACAAGTAAGAAGAGAAGGAAGCTGAGAAATCCAAACATCTTTTATTGTATGTTTTTTTTCTTGTTCTTTTGAGAAATGATAACCTATGAGTTGTGAGAGGGAAGCAAGAAGATGATGCTTATAAATAGGTTCTTCCAAGGATTAAAAGAAAGAAATAAAAGAAATGGAAGTAATAAAGTAGTATAGGTCAATGTTTTGAAGAAGGCAAATGGGATTTGAATTGACAATAATTATATTTAATACCATGGACCATTTGAATAGCTAAAGATGGGCTACTAAATCAAATGCCATTAGAAATAGAACAAAACGTTTGGAAGTTTGAATGATGATGAAGATAGTTTTGCATAAGATAATTAAATGAAAATAAATGATGTGGATATTATATTTATACTTGTACTTTAAGATCAAATATGAAACGAACTTTTTTTTTCCTTCTTCGTTTGAGTTTAACATTTGAGGTTTTATATGCCTTAACCAATTAAATTATACTTAACTAATTGGTATAAAACTGGCTAATATTAGTTAATTAGATTTGTTAATAATAAAAAAAAACTTTTTCTCCCTTGTTCTTTTATCCATGCCCATTGCAAAAGAAAGAGTTCCCATGGATTAGCATGGCTTTGAAATTTCGGTCCATAGGATTGTGAGTTACTATATATATATATACTATACAAACTTACCAAATATGGACATGGGTTTAGAAAATCTTGGAGATAGTACGTGGAAATAATGAGGCTGTGGATTCCTGGCCATTGATGCAGGTATTTGTATTAAATCATATAATATATTACTTAATAATGTGTCAAAACGTGAATAGACAGAGTAGTGTACAATAGTAATTCTAGAAACATTACCTTATTTTCTAGTAGTAAATTTTAAATATGCATGATAGGGCCATGATTTTAAATGTGGATATTGATGTCTCAATATCATGAGAAATGTTAATTGAAATATCTACGTCGATCAATATTTTTTAGAATACTCTAATGAGACTTATACTTCATCATGGTCCTCTAAATCGACCTTAATTTGTAATTATAAAATTCCTACTATTCTTTGAATTGTAACGCTTTATTTAGACTCTTTTTGATATATGTTTCTCACATACTTTTGAATGAGCAGTGGGTTNTTTAGGTAAACTATTAAAAAAAATAATGTAATTAATAAGCATTTTACTTGTTTTAAATAAATTAAAATTTATTAATATTATATATTTATATTTGTAATATCTTGTTGATATTTATTTATATTTTGTCCCTATAAAAAAAGTCAACAAAAATTTAATACGRGCTGATTCAAACCTATACTTCTTAAGAAAGAATACTAATTAATGAGACATAAATTAGGTCGAGCTTAGCTCCAGAATTAAAGTGAGATTTAAATTATGTTGGGATTGGAGAACATGATATTTAAAAACTGTCGTAATTTTCAAGAGTATGAAAAATTTTAGCTACCAAGTAGGGAAAGGTTGATATTTTGATTATTCTTCCACCCTCCCAAATAATTTTTTATTTTTGAAAAATCTTGTTTTATTTCATACATGTACAATGGGAAAAAACCCAACTCTTATAATAAATTGCAAAGTTTACAATTAGTTGTTGTTGACATTTTAAACCTACACTTTTTATTATGTAATTAAGAATAATATTGTTGCAAAAAGAATACAGGGATAATTTGTACCATTGATTTTGATCATATATGAATGATACCATAAATGGTACGTATTAGGGATATGAGGGACTCTTCACATGTCCATATTAGTACGATAACTGTGTACTTTRGACATAACTTTTACGGTTTTATCTTTATTTTTCATAAAAAATAACTCATATTAATGAAGATGCTTGTCGCATACATAATTCTTATCTAAAATTATGCCTACTTGAATTCTTTTAAAAAAACAAAATATATTTATGAAATATTTTTTGGGTGGTAATCCATGTTATTTTATGTTGGATCCATAATACTTGAATAGAGATATTGATATGATATCTTATTCACAATTTGAGTTAAGTACCAAAATAAATTACTAAAACGAGCATAGTTCAACGATTGAACTATTAATTGGTATATAACATAATATTCCAACTAAAAAGTCGTGAGTTCAAATCCTCTCCCCACATATTGTACTTAAAAGGGAGTATTAAAACAAATTATAGAGATCACAATTCATTTAATAAAATTAAATGAAAAGATAAAATGAAATAAAGTGCTCATCAATGTTGTATTTTAAAAAAAGGCTTATCAATCCTTTAAAAAAAAGGCTCATCAATATTAAAATATGATTATAAACTAATTTTCTTTAACAAAATATATATGAAGAATAAGAATGTGTGTACAAACGCCCCCCTGCAATTTCATTTGGTCAGGTTAAAAAAAAAAATTGAAGAAGATGAGCTCGGTTAAGGACAACTATATTCCAAGAATTTCCGTTATGGCCCTTTGACCTTTGTGCTCATATATCTGGAGTGTGCACACTRTCTTATATGTCTTATATCCRTACATACGCCAAAAACCTCAAGGATATTCCTTAAATCTCGGGTGACCCAAACTATCCCTTAGATGACTCGAATTTGTCCACGTRTATATATATATATATATATCCATAATCTTCAACTTATTTAGCGGATATGGAACTTGTCCCATTCGCAACAAACTCTAAGGAACCCAAACAAAGATTTGTCGAAGTGAAAACTCCAGGAATCACACGAAAGGTAAATAATTTTATTTAATAATAGAATTCTATTGAATTCTTTGTTAGACATCATTGGTATACAAACGAGGAATCACACGATTTCCTCATCATATGAACGAAACTTATTGGATAAAGAAATTTATTTGCACATAACTAATGTGTATATAAAGCATATATTTAAATGAGTATTGAAATATTTCGATGAGCTTCAAGTGTTCATTTCCATGGTGCATCGCCGCATTGCGATGGAGGACAACTCTCTTTGGCAATATCATCAATTTGAAGTCTTGTATCATAAATCATTCCGTTTTTCCAATCAGCAGGAAGCACATAATTTGACCACAACCATTTTCCATCGTACCCTGCAGTTACTGCAATTCTCATCTTTAATGCTCCTTTTGGCACTTTATTAGTGTCCCAAACAGCTCCATAGTTTCTCTTTAAACTCACCCAATCATATGAACCAACCTGCACCCAATGCCAAATAACATTAATCTCTGTGTGTTCTATTCATTTTTATGTGTGGTTTTAGGCTTAATTTTACCTCAGCTATGTCCACAGCAACTATCTCTGTTTGGCCACCTTGGTACAAGACTTTAATGGCTAAATACTGTGGGTTATAACTTGATTCTTCGACTCGTACTGATAAATTTTTGTTCTTGTATGCACAAGGTATCCTACAGTACAACATGAACACACGTATCCATGTATTAAAAATGATTTTGGTTAGCTTCGTATTTAGGGTGTGTTTGGGAGTGACGGTAGTAGATGATTGATTTTGAAAAAAGAAATGTAAGTATAATTGATTTTCCAAAATCATTATCCAATTAATATTTTAAAAATCAATTTAGAATGATTTAAAACTTTCTTAAAATCAAATTTTCGATTTGCCAAACATGACCAATTGAAAGAGAAGTGATTTTGACAATCACTCCCATATTGGGAGTGATCGCCGCATTATAAGTTGTAATTGATTTTTCAAAATCATCGTTGAAGTTAGTGATTTTAAATTTTTCTAAAATTAATTTTTTAATTTGTCAAACATGATGAATGATGAATGAAGAGGAAGTTGATTTTGACAATAACACTCTCAAACACATCTTTAATATCGATGCATTATATAAAAGTATGATTCGATCGTCACCTCTTATATTCTATGTCGACAATTCCAGAATTCAAAAGATCTTGATCTTTTCCTTTCAAACTCATGGCAGAGAAAGCTTTTCTACTGAGAACAAAATCTGTTCTAGTATCATAATTTTGATCTGTCAAAACAACTTTAGTTCCTGCTGTGTTGCATAATCTTTTGTCCTTGCATCTCACCTACAAAAATAATAAACTTATTATAAACAATTTTAATTAAAAAAGAAAAAAAAACCTCTAAAAAATGATTTAAATGTACACCTGAAAACAGGCACCACAGCCAACTCCTTGTTTGTAGAGAGAAGGCACAGCAGCTGCAAAGTAGCCATTGGTAAATTCCAATGCTAAGTTGCCATAACCACATGCTCCTCCATCTGCATTATAATTAGATTAATCATACCAAAATAAAATTAATTAGTATTATCATTCTAGTATCACGTATCAACATGATAAATAATTGAGTGTTAAGATGAATAAAAGATCACTCAACCCAAAAGCTTAATCTAATGGGTAATGGGTTGGGTAAATTTAATTCACATATCTTAACATCGAGGTTACCACATAAAAGGTAAAATGAGAAGAGCAAAATAAAAACAAAATCTTTTACATGAAGTAGGTGAATCGCCATAGTAATGAGTAGCTTTGGATCGATGAACACAACGATCACAAGCAGTAGCAAAAGAGACGAGGAAGAAGAAGAGAAACCAACGAGCCATTTTTGTGAAGAACTTGTTGATGTTTATTATGAGCTATATGAGAAAGAATCAGAAGAATGATGCTTAAATAGTTGCTTCAAAGATTAAAAGCAATAGTGGATAACATTCAACATATGTCAGCATTTTCTAAAAGAGGAATTGCATAAAGGGTGCCAAAATTGACTTTATAATTTTATTGTGTGTGGTATTTGGTATTTGAATTACTAAACTTGGAGAAGAATTGAAAAAAGTATATGGGTTGATTTTATTTCAATTTATAATATTTTTTAAATTAGTATATAATAATTCTTTTTTTCAAAAAAGGTAAAATGATAGGGCAAGATGAAAAAAATGGGAGTGAGATTCCAAAGAGAAGTAATATATGAGATTTACAATTTCAATGCAATATAATCCATAAGAAACTTTAAATTTCTTTATGAAATGGTTAATTTTTATTAAATAAAAAATATTAATAGAAATCACATATTTATCAAATGTAATAAATAGAATAATAAAAGAAGGGAGCTTTTGCGATAATGGTACAATTCTCACGTGATAAAATATAATTTCGAAAAATGTTATAAATGTAAGAAGTTGTATGTCAATAATATACTTGATATTAACGTATTATAGGTTAGTTTATTGGTCAAAGAACTCAAAATTAAATCAAAAGAATTTAGAGGAATGAGTTCAAACCTCCATAATATCAGGATCGGTTGTCTAAATAGTATATGAATGATACATTTTGATAGTCGTTATTTTTTTAATTTAAGAAAGTCAATTTACGAGTTGGTAAAAAGACCAAACGTTTAAATATTTATTTATTGAGTTGAAATGGTAAAATTCATATGTCATGGTTGAATTGAACAATCCAAGTTTTATAGAAGGAAATAAAAAAAAGGGCAAAATAATGGACTTCTCTCGGACAATAGATTAGTAGGAAAAACAAACAGCAGCCGTCGATTTGAACATTCTCAACTTCATCTTATTCCAAAGGTGACGTGGCCAAATTGGTTAAATTTTGGCAATAGTCGTGGATCATGGCAGCCTATATATATATGTTTGCCAACTCAACTTGCCACATCTACGTACAGTCAGCATTAACTTTTTTTAGTCCAGTCAGCATTAACTTATACATAGTTTTTGTTCTCATAATAATTCAGTTAAAAATTTCAATTGTCGGAATCCTTATAGAAAATTACTAATTACATGTGCATAGTTAAGTGTTAATTAACACCTATTTCTTTTCGTGAGGTTCGAGGTTCAAACTTCATACTCTAATTTAAGTTAAAAAGAGTAACAGTTTGATTCYAAAGTTTTGGAAAATATCTCTAAAAGGTCCGTGAGGTCTTCGTTAGCGACACTAGTGGAATATTGATATGAGATATTTTATAAATTTTATATTATTTTTAATTATATGGAATTTTTTAATTCATTTCCTCTCCTCTTTTTCTCTCTTCCCCTACCTCTCCCGTTTCGTTTCCATCCCCTATCTCTCGTCCCATCACTACTTTTTGTGAATTTTAAGTTAGTTTCAATTCGTATTGATTCACTGGTATATAACAATTTAGAAAATGAACAAAATGATTCATGGCTAAATTTGTCATCACCTCCCCTAAAATCTTTTTGGAGATGACTCATCCTTTCACGAGCCATAGAAAATTGTTAGTAACCCCATGCCCATCCATAAATTCACAACCTCTGCACCTCCACTAATATCCTTGATATGAGATATATTAAGTATTCTGTTGGAAAAATTTATTTACCAATAATGTTTTCTCATTCCATAGTTCATCAGTGAAAACTAAGTCACACACCATAAGAAGAAAAATAGGGAAAGCATAGAAACGACACAAGCAAATTTATACTGGTTCACCCAACTATGGGCTACGTCCAGTCTTCCGCGGCAACGGGTCTACTAATGATTGGGATAAATACAACGGGTCTCACAGACGCTCTACAAAACTCTATCTAGATGCCCCATTAATGGTCACCTAGCTTTTAAGTACTACGACAATAATTACTTAAGAATACAGAATGAAAAACCTCATGGGTTGTCGACAATGCTCTACAAGCCAACGTTCTTCTTTTCTTCTCTGCCAAATAACACCACCGCCGTCGCTTCCAATTTTGTGCACCAACACAAAATAGCTGCCGCTCTGATTTTTGTGCCTCAACACCTCACGGCTCTGATGTGGTTTTCACCGACCAAACCTAAATTTATGAATAACTTAATAGTTGGGCTTTGTGTTTTTTTTTTCTTTCGGGCCCAACAACTAGCA